GTGGATGGCCCAGAAGTGTCTTGGATGGCCCAGAAGTGTTGTGTGGATGGCCCAGAAGTGTCTGTGTGGATGGCCCAGGAAGTGTCTGTGTGGATGCCCAGAAGTGTTCAGTTGGATGGCCCAGAAGTGTCTGTGTGGATGGCCCAGAAGTGTCTGTGTGGATGGCCCAGAAGTGTTCAGGTGGATGGCCCAGAAGTGTCTGTGTGGATGGCCCAGAAAGTCAAGTGTCTGTGTGGATGGCCCAGAGTGTCTGGTGGATGGCCCAGAAGTGTCTGTGTGGATGGCCCCAGAGAAGTGTCTGTGTGGATGGCCCAGAAGTGTTCTGGTGTCTGTGTGGATGGCCCAGGGGTCTGTGTGGATGGCCCAGGTGTCTGTGATGGCCCAGAGTTCTGTGTGGATGGCCCAGAAGTGTGTCGGTGGATGGCCCAGAAGTGTTGTGTGGATGGCCCAGAAGTGTGGATCCAGAAGTCGTTGTGTGGATGGCCCAGTGTGGATGGCCCAGAAGTGTCTGTGTGGATGGCCCAGAAGCTGTCTGTGTGGATGGCCCAGAAGTGTCTGTGTGGATGGCCCAGAAGCATCAGTGGATGGCCCAGAAAGTCAAGTGTCTGTGTGGATGGCCCAGAAGTGTCTGTGTGGATGGCCCAGAGCAAGTGTCTGTGTGGATGGCCCAGAAGTGTCTGTGTGGATGGCCCAGAAGTCGTGGATGGGGCAGTGTCGGTGGATGGCCCAGAATGTCTGTGTGGATGGCCCAGAAGTGTTCTCGTGTGGATGGCCCAGAAGTGTCTGTGTGGATGGCCCAGAAGTGTCTGTGTGTGGATGGCCCAGAAGTGTCTGTGGATGGCCCAGGAAGTGTCTGTGTGGATGGCCCAGAAGTTCTGTTGGATGGCCAGAAGTGTCTGTGTGGATGGCCCAGAAGTGTCTGGTGGATGGCCCAGAAGTGTCTGTGGGATGGCCCAGAAGTGTCTGTGTGGATGCCAGAAGTCTGTGATGGCCCAGAAGTGTCTGTGGATGGCCCAGGTCTGTGTGGATGGCCCAGAAGTGTCTGTGTGATGGCCCAGAAGTCAAGTGTCTGTGTGGATGGCCCAGAAGTGTCTGTGTGGATGGCCCAGAAGTGTCTGTGTGGATGGCCCAGAAGTGTCTGTGGATGGCCCAGAAGTGTCTGTGTGGATGGCCCAGAAGTGTCTGTGTGGATGGCCCAGAGTGTCTGTGGATGGCCCAGAAGTGTCTGTGTGGATGGCCCAGAGTGTCTGTGTGGATGGCCCAGAAGTGTCTGTGTGGATGGCCCAGAAGTGAAGTGTCTGTGGATGGCCCAGAAGTGTCTGTGTGGATGGCCCAGAAGTGTCTGTGTGGATGGCCCAGAGTGTGTCTGTGTGGATGGCCCAGAAGGTGTCTGTGTGGATGGCCCAGAGTGTCTGTGTGGATGGCCCAGGGGTGTCTGTGTGGATGGCCAGAATGTCTGTGTGGATGGCCCAGAAGTGTCTGTGGATGGCCCAGAAGTGTCTGTGGATGGCCCAGAAGTGTCTGTGTGGATGGCCCAGAAGTGTCTGTGTGGATGGCCCAGAAGTGTGTCTGTGTGGATGGCCCAGAAGTGTCTGTGTGGATGGCCCAGAAGTGTCTGTGTGGATGGCCCAGAAGTGTCTGTGGATGGCCCAGAAGGTGTCTGTGTGGATGGCCCAGAAGTGTCTGTGTGGATGGCCCAGAAGTGTCTGTGTGGATGGCCCAGAAGTGTCTGTGTGGATGGCCCAGAAGTGTGTCTGTGTGGATGGCCCAGAAGTGTCTGTGTGGATGGCCCAGAGTGTCTGTGGATGGCCCAGAAGTGTCTGTGTGGATGGCCCAGGAGTGTCTGTGTGGATGGCCAGAAGTGTCTGTGTGGATGGCCCAGAAGTGTCTGTGTGGATGGCCCAGAAGTGTCTGTGTGGATGGCCCAGAAGTGTCTGTGTGGATGGCCCAGAAGTGTCTTGTGTGGATGGCCCAGGAAGTGTCTGTGTGGATGGCCCAGAAGTGTCTGTGTGGATGGCCCAGAAGTGTCTGTGTGGATGGCCCAGAAGTGTCTGTGTGGATGGCCCAGAAGTGTCTGTGTGGATGGCCCAGAAGTGTCTGTGTGGATGGCCCAGAAGTGTCTGTGTGGATGGCCCAGAAGTGTCTGTGTGGATGGCCCAGAAGTGTCTGTGTGATGGCCCAGAAGTGTGTGGATGGCCCAGAAGTGTCTGTGTGGCGTCAGAATATGGTGAGGGAACTACAGTCCAGTAACATCATATATGACTTAAAGAAACAGAGAGACAAGTTGTTAAAATTTTATACTGAGTGATGACCATAAAGTAATTAATAATAGGAAAACATTACATAGGGTGAGTTGAAGATCTTAACTGTGTGGTGATTAAGTTGATTTAACAGCTAAGAAGTGAATGTATGCCACTGATTGGTCTGTTGGTTATGAAACAAGCTAAAATATACCATGAGGAACTGAACATTGATGATTAGTGTGAAGAGGTTAGCTGCAGAAGTTTAAGAAGCGTCATGGTATAAAATATCTGATAATCTGTGGTGAAAAAGGTTCTACTGATCATAAAGGAACTGAAAATACATTGACGAATTTGCCCAAATAATATCTGATGAAAACTTTAATCCTGAACAAATTTATAATGCTGATGAAACGGTTCTGAAATGGCGCTACGTTCCTGATGAGAGAGAACCAATAGGCGTTAAGGACATGTTGGCTGTTCTTGTGTGTGCCAATGCTTGGCACACACAAGTTAAAGTGATTGGTAAAAGCTAACGACCGTGAAGTTTAAAAGGCGTATACACAATTTACCTGTAACGTTATTATGCCGACAAGACAGTGTAGGTAACCAGAGAACTATTAACTGACTGGTTCAATAACGTCTTTGTACAAGAGCTCATTGCAGGGAAGGTGGAACGGAAGCAAACTGTGGTGGAACGGAAGCAAACTGTGGTGGAACGGAAGCAAACTGGTGGCGGAAGCAAATACAAACAACAAAAACAAAACAACACCAAACACAACAAACAAACTGTGGTGGAACAACAACTGAGAAGCAAACTGTGGTGGAACGGAAACAAACTGTGGTGGAACGGAAACAAACTGTAAGATTCTATTAATCCTTGACAACTGGCCCACACATCCACCTCCTGAACTACTTGTGAGAAGCAATGTTTTGTGGATTAATTTCCCCCCCCCAGTGCGACGTCTTTAACACAGCCTCGTTACCAAGAAATTTTACAATCCCTGAAGAGCAAATATAGATTTTTTTTAAACTATTTGCTTGATACAGAAAACACAGGCGTAGGAATCCACCAGAACTTCACAAAAGAATCAGTGTTGAGGATGCCATTTATGCAGTTGTTAATCCTTGGAACACTGTTAATAAACCTACATAAAATAATACTTGGCAGAGACTTAAAACTGCAAGATAAAGACGACAACTTTGAAGGATATTGCGTCACTTAGGAGAAAAGATACCAAACCTCCTTATTTACACCAAAGGTTTATCATCCCAGAGTGTAAATGAATTAGAGGAAGCTGCCATTAAAGTGAGCATGAGATTATGGCAGACATGTTTAGACAGAAACCAATTTGACAGATCACACAGGAACAAGTCTTTAAAAATGGCTATCTGTCGTACCGAGTCAACATTTGAGAGTCCTGATCAAGTCAGATGTAATTTACCTTTACTGAATGTATATATATATATATATATTTAGCTTAGTTTATATAGTATTTACACATGATTAAAGGTTTACTGAATAATTTCCTTACAAATAAACTGTACTAGAGTATTTAAGGGCGATATAAATATTTCATTTCAACCTAACCTAACCCTTCTGAAATCTGAAACACATCTGACCTCAAGGATTTGGATAATAAAAATAATAATGACAATAATGACAATAATAATGATAATAATAATATATACAGTCATCATACTCAAGGGATTAAGTTATCATACTCAAGGGGATAAATCATCATACTCAAGGGGTTAAGTCATCATACTCAAGGGGTTAAATCATCATACTCAAGGGGTTAAGTCATCATATTCCATGCTGTCATCATACCATAAGCCAAGTCATCATACCCGCGTTGTCATCACACTCAAGGCCAAAATCATCACACCGCGTTGTCATCATAAATCACCTGGCGTTGTCATCATACTCAAGGGGTTAAGTCATCGTACTCAAGGGGTTAAGTCATCATACTCAAGGGGTTAAGTCATCGTACTCAAGGGGTTAAATCATCACACTCAAGGGGTTCAAACCGCCACACTCAAAGGGGTTAAACCAATAAACCATCGCACTCAAGGGGTTAAACCACAAAAGACCGATTCACACTACTGATCACATATCGGTAACATCACGAATCGGCAACGTCACGCATCGGTTCGGTCACGTCGGGTGTCTCGGGGAGAATAGTTTGACGCGATGAACCGTCTCCGATATGTCACGAATGGGGTAAACACTCAAGCGGTCAGTAGGTCCGTTCAAGCTGGAGGGCCTACACAGCTTGATATAGGCCTAGTGGATTGATTCGGCTTTGTTTCGCATCAAAAACAATAACATCAAGAGGTCTCGGTACTTTGAGAATCCTTTGAAATATTTGATATTTTTTGACTCACAATGATTTAAGTATTTTCAGTAACTCTTATTGTATGCAAGAGCCTGGAGTTGGATAGTCTCTCCTCTGTAACCAATGGCAGCGAAGTGATGTATCCCTGGCAGTTCCTCATCTTGAGACACAATCTTATTTCCTTTTTCTAAATTTCTTCTCGGCTTTGAATAATAAATAAAATCCCTCGCTGTTCTAACCAAAAGATCCAATATCCACAAATATCCACAACAACGAGTGGACGATCGCAGACGGAACCTCGACGGATGACGTGAACGCCAGCAGTTTTATCCGCGATGTTACCGATACGCGACCGATGGTGTGAATCGGCGTTAATCCACCACAATCAAAGGGGGGTTAAAGATCCTCCGTACGGCTTCACCTGTATCCGAAGGTCGTGTCGGATATTGCGGATTTGGTAGACGGTGTTGAGAGCTTTCTTCACCAGGGCAACCTCCTTCTCTGTTTCTGTTACGCCTTTCTCGTACATAAGCTTGAGTTTTGTCTGTGTGAGAGAGAGAGAGAGTGAGAGACTGAATGAGAGAGAGAGAGAGAGAGAGAGAGAGAGAGAGAGAGAGAGAGAGAGAGAGAGAGAGAGAGAGAGAGAGAGAGAGAGAGAGAGAAGAGAGAGAGAGAGAGAGAGAGAGAGAGAGAGAGAGAGAGAGAGAGAGAGAGAGAGAGAGAGAGAGAGAGAGAGAGAGAGAGAGAGAGAGAGAGAGAGAGAGAGAGAGAGAGAGAGTAGATAACGCATATAAACCATTAAATCAATGCATAAAATAAACCAGGACACCTAACCTAACCTAACCAAACCCCACAAGAAGAATTATGGCATTAAACCAACAGATAAAATAAACTGCAGCACCCCACCCAAACCTAACCTAACCCTACCACAAAGCTAACCAGACCCCACCACACCGACCCTGTTCGATGACGTCAATTTCTCATCGGTGACAATCTTATCCGAGAGTGCGTTAATGGCGTTCATGTGAGGTGCGTTGTCGTCCCGGGCTTCCTGCAGTTCACGCACCAGCTCAGATAACACTTTTACCCTCTCCTGTAAACAATGGAACGGGAATTAAATTACGTGGTATAGTGAACAGGTGACGATTTGCTGCCCCAGATTAGATTAAGTCAATAATTTAACCTAATTTAACCCCAAGTTAGATTAAAAAAGAAAAACACTAATCTAACCTACCGTAGCTTAGATTAAGTCACTAATCCTAATCTAACCTAGCCCCTAGTTAGATTAAAAGACACTAATCCTAATCTAACCTACCCTAGCTTAGATTAAGTTCCTATTCCTAACTTAACCTAATCCCTACTGATAGTGTTAAGGTGTTAAAGCATGAGGTGAAATCTTAAAAGGGTGTACAATAAACTAGCCACCTGTGTTAAATGTTCTACTCTGATATCTGAAGGGGGTGCACAATAAACTAGCCCCTTGTGTTAATATGAAAGGGTGCACAATAAACTAGCCCCCTATATTAAATGGGGCAAAATCTGAAATATGAAAAGGGTGCACAATAAACTAACCCACCTATATTAAATGGACTAATCTAAAATTGAGTACAAGAGAGTACATAAACACAGAGAACACCAGACAGAGTACATACCAACACCCCAAACATCGAACCTGTAAAGCCTGGGCCTCGGAACTCATAGCCATGGCCATTTCCGTGGACGTGGACAGAGGATAAGGAGTAACGTTTATGGGAGGCAACGGCTCGCTTCTTATCAGCTGGTCTCTACGGTAGGAGGGAGACGACTCGCTTCCTCCTCCTCCTCCTCGCATCTTTGGTGACTTAGGGCTGTCAATCCCTCTCTTGGGACTACCTGGAGAAGAGTGGTTAGGTTAGTGTTAGGTTAGTGTTAGGTTAGTGCTACGTTAGTGTTACGTTAGGTTAGTGATAGGTGTATGTAATAATAATAATAATAATAATAATAATAATAATAATAAACGGTTTATTAATAGAGTTGCAGCCGGTGGCATAAAATATACAGACTTACATTTGATTTAGACATAATGATATAATATACATTGAATACATTTACAGGGCTGTACAGTACATAAATCAGGAGTTGTTTATTATTTTAACAATAGATGGGATGGTGCTGTTCTTATATCTATCGGTGCGGGCTGTTATGGGCTGAATTTTGTTGTAGTAGCGGACTGTGCGAGGTGGGCGGGGGACTGCAGGTGGCAGGAGGTGGCGAGGATGGTGCGTAGACAGACAGACAGTTATGAGTCTAACTTGTCTACAATACTGCCAGTGATAATAACAGCTATTGTAGGTACAGTGGTCTCTTGGTTAACGAGCACAATTCGTTCCAGAAGGTTGCTCGTTAACCAAAACCATTGTTTCAATGGGTTTTGGGTAATTGGTTCCAGCTCACCGAAAATTGCTTCAATTCAACAAAAAAGGTAGTAAAGTACACTTACTTTGAGGTGTGTATGTAGAAGGCTCCTGGATGATGATGATGGGAATTAGAATGGGGGTGGAGGAGAAGGGAGAAGAGAAGGCATTGGGGTGGAAGAGAAGTCACCCCATGGTGCCATTTCACCCATAAAATTTTAGCTCTCTGGTGTAATTCAAGATTATTTTCTATAAATCAACACTGCACTGCATTATATATTGTCAATATGTAAAATATATTTCATAATGACCAATAATTTGACTGGAAACAGAAAAAAGCGTTTATGTTGAAGAGTCTCAAGCAGGATGTTACCTCCACTGAAAAGACACAGAGACTGACGCCTGTATGGTGTGTTGACAGGCTGTTTGGCGTGCTAAAAACTAGTTTCCCTGTACTTAAATTATGTTAAATAATTGTTAAAATTACTAAAAAATTTAATACAAGACTTTTAAAATTATTGAATAGTACAAACTTCTTGATATTTACTGAAATAGTAAGGAATTTAAGCCCTAGAACCGATTATTGTATTGGCAGACTAATATGACAGCTAGTGTGCAAGCGAAAACATGTTGAGGGGCGCTCGTGAGGACTTCGTTAACCGAGGCGCTCGTTAACCAAGGGATCACTGTATTGTAAAAGTTAATGAATGGTTACTGATTAGCTGCCTCTGATGAATTGGCCGTCTGATGTACGAACGATCGTTAATCATCATAGGTTATAATCATTAGGACACTTAATTATAGGTCGACCTTTTATATTGACGGTAATAATCTTTTACCAGGTCGTAAGTCAAAAATGCTTAAATAATACATATAAAATCTAAAATGGGTGTCTTTTTTTTTCTCAGCACCACAAAACTCTCACTTTTAAGCTTGCCAGATAATTTAAAGTGAATTACAAAGGAAAATTTTGTCAGTACACAGCGCAATCACTAGTGTCGGGACTCGAAAACATGTAATTTGACAAAATTTTTATATGACTGCATCGGTCGTGTGTCCGAGCGGTCGTAAGTCGAGGAGCACCTGCAATAATGTATTTATAATTCTGGAGTTGGGTTTGGTTAGGTTTGGTTAAATTAGTGTTTGGGTAAATTAGGTTAAGTTAGTGTTAGGTTAGGTTAGGGAAGGTTTGATTAGATTATATTCAGTCAGGTTAGGTTACGTTAGGTTAAATTAGGTTAGTGTTTAGTTAGTGTTAGGTTATGTTAGTGTTAGTTTAGGTTAGATTAAATTAGGTTAATGTTTAGTTAGTGTTAGGTTATGTTAGTGTTAGGTTAGGTTAGGGAAGGTTTGATTAGATTATATTCAGTCAGGTTAGTTTAGGTTAGATTAAATTAGGTTAGTGTTTAGTTAGTGTTAGGTTAAATTAGTGTTAGGTTATGTTAGTGTTAGTTTAGGTTAGATTAAATTAGGTTAATGTTTAGTTAGTGTTAGGTTAAATTAGTGTTAGTTATGTTAGTGTTAGTTTAGGTTAGATTAAATTAGGTTAATGTTTAGTTAGTGTTAGGTTAAATTACAGTAAGATTACATTAGGTTAGACTTGATTGTAATGAGTGTTTATCAGGCCACAGCTTACAGCCCAGAGAATTACAACAGTGAGTAAATGAGCAGGTGTACGCCCGTAAGTTGACACACCCTACAGTGACCCAGGAGAGGTCACGGAGAGGTCACGTCCACAAAGTACCTGAGTTAACCCTGCGATATGACCCTGTTACAACCACACCTTACCAAGACACACCCGGGTGGTAATAATTAGGAAGCATTACAGACCTGTGTCATGACCTCACACCTGGGCAAACAGCCGTCCAAAACTAACCAATTTAGTGTTAATCAGGAGAGGTCATCTGCCGGCTGTTGACCTCCAATATAAGACCCAGCAGCCACTTCCACAGGTCATTCATATTCAGACGACATTTACTTCACTATCAACAAAAGATGGAGTCACGCTCGTCACTAGTCAGGGGTCGGGAGAGAGAGAGACTTCCCTCACCAGCAGCACCCACTGGGCCTCCCTCAGGTCACACGTGAGTCACTAGTCAGAGCTATCCATAGGGTGAGTTACTTACGGTGGGAAGTGTATCCGAGAGTCAGCGTCTAGTAACGTAAATATAATGTTCGAGTTATTTAAATATAATGAGCTATTAACGTGTCTGTGTCATTCAGTTCAATAATAAATAGCTGTATTGAAAGTAACTAAGTGGCCATGATAGCGACAGTCTACTATATGTACTAATAACACCCCCCCCCACCCCCCCATGATCAAGGTTAGGTTAAATTACATTAGTGTTAGGTTAAATTAGTGTTAAGTTTGGTTAAATTAATATTAGATTAGGTTAAATTAGGTTAGTGTTAGTGTTAGGTTAAATTAGTGTTAGGTTAAATTAGTGTTAGGTTTGGTTAAATTAATATTAGATTAGGTTAATTTAGGTTAGTGTTAGGTTAGGTTAGGTTAAATTACATTAGTGTTAGGTTAAATTAGTGTTAGGTTTGGTTAAATTAATATTAGATTAGGTTAAATTAGGTTAGTGTTAGGTTAGGTTAAATTTGTGTTACATTAGGTTATTGTTAGATTAGGTTAGGTTAAATTTGTGTTACATTAGGTTAGTGTTAGGTTAGATTAGGTTAATGTTAGTTTAGATTAGGTTAATGTTAGTTTAGATTAGGTTAGTGTTAAGTTAGATTAGGTTAATGTTGGTTAGATTAGGTTAATGTTAGGTTAGATTAGGTTAATGTTGGTTAGATTAGGTTAATGTTGGTTAGATTAGGTTAATGTTAGATTAAATCAGTGTTACATTAGGTTAAATTAACAAAAAACCTACCAATAGTCTTATCCTTTCCCTTGCCCATAGTTGAAGACGTTCACTCGGCCAATGACTCGACCCCAGCCAACTGGATTCGACGAGCGATGGCCAATGACTCGACCCCAGCCAATGACTCGACCCCAGCCAACTGACGCCGAGCGATGACCAATGACTCGACCCCAGCCAACTGACGACGAGCGATGACCAATGACTCGACCCCAGCCAATGACTCGACCCCGGCCAACTACTCGACCCCGGCCAACTGACGCCGAGCGATGGCCACTCCTGCGATGACTGTGTAGGTCCACGACACGACGACGAGGCCGATCAACACCTATGGGGGGGGGAGGGACGTTAATTAAACACCTGGTCATGAGATAGGATAGATAGATGGATAGATGGATAGATAGATGGATAGATACGTTAATAGATGGATAGATAGATGGATAGATAGATGGATAGATACTGCTAATAGATGGATAGATAGATGGATAGATACGTTAATAGATGGATAGATAGATGGATAGATACGTTAATAGATGGATAGATAGATGGATAGATACGTTAATAGATGGATAGATAGATGGATAGATAGATGGATAGATACGTTAATAGATGGATAGATACGTTAATAGATGGATAGATACGTTAATAAATGGATAGATGGATAGATACGTTAATAGATGGATAGATGGATAGATACGTTAATAGATGGATAGATAGATGGATAGATACGTTAATAGATGGATAGATAGATGGATAGATACGTTAATAGATGGATAGATAGATGGATAGATACGTTAATAGATGGATAGATACGTTAATAAATGGATAGATAGATGGATAGATACGTTAATAGATGGATAGATAGATGGATAGATACGTTAATAGATGGATAGATAGATGGATAGATACGTTAATAGATGGATAGATAGATGGATAGATACGTTAATAGATGGATAGATAGATGGATAGATACGTTAATAGATGGATAGATAGATGGATAGATACGTTAATAGATGGATAGATAGATGGATAGATACGTTAATAAATGGATAGATAGATACGTTAATAGATGGATAGATACGATCAGATGGATAGATGTTAATAGATAGATGCGGATAGGATAATGTTAATAGATAGATGGATAGATACGTTAATAGATGGATAGATAGGAGTTACGCCGTTAATATATGGATAGATAGATGGATAGATACGTTAATAAATGGATAGATAGATGGATAGATACGTTAATAGATGGATAGATAGATGGATAGATACGTTAATAGATGGATAGATAGATGGATAGATACGTTAATAGATGGATAGATAGATGGATAGATACGTTAATAGATGGATAGATAGATGGATAGATACGTTAATAGATGGATAGATAGATGGATAGATACGTTAATAGATGGATAGATAGATGGATAGATACGTTAATAAATGGATAGATAGATGGATAGATACGTTAATAGATGGAAAATAAGGACAAAAATGATAAAATAATGAACCATAACACTCGAGGGTAAATACTCAACTAGGGTGTGTTATTTTGCCTTATATTACCTTAAATAACGGTCATTACAGTTAACTCACAGCGTTTATAAGTAGATTAGACGTCCTGGTACCGGATAAAATAGCTAAAATCATCCGGATATGGTCAAAAAACCGTTAAAATCGGTTAAAAAGTCGAGTTATTTATCCGTTTCTGACCTCCCTCTACTGCAACGGCCGCCATTACTATCTCCTGATTGGTTGATTCAGCAGATGATGACAGAAAATAAACCAATCAGCGTCGAGTATTGTACTATGTTTACAATACGCCATTACTATCTCCTGATTGGTTGATTCAGCAGATAATAACAGAAAATCAACCAATCATCATCGAGTATTGGACTATGTTTCCAATATGGCCGCCATAAGGCCTCACCACCCTAAGGTTTATCAGGATATATAATAATATTACCGATATATTAATTAATTATAGTTATTATATATCCCTGAGGTGATTAATTAAAATATAATAAAATATATAATAAAATTAACTTAAATAATTAGTCTATATATAATTATTAACGTTAAATAATAATAAAATAGTATATATATCAAATAAAATAAAACTCATATATAATTCAAATAATATATTTTAATTAGATACATTATTAAATATAGAGTTATTTAGCGTTAATATATATAATAAAAATATAAAACATATAATTAAAGGGTAAATATGTAGTTAGTAATATGTCCTGGATAGTGTGAGGGGAGGTCAAGGGTCAGCCACTACACCACACTCATCATGGCTGAGAGAGATAGTTTAGTCTCACAATTTACTGCTGTGTCTGGTGTTGATTCTGAACGGGCTATATTTTTCTTAGAGTCTGCTGCTTGGAATTTAGAGGTGAATTTAAATCATATATAATTAAATATGATTTTAATTTTTTGTGGGGTAATATTTTTTTTCTTATAGGGTTTTATTGTTGGTTAGAGACAGATCGTCATCCAGGGGTTATTTATCCGGGTTTTTTTATATTTAATCTGGTTATGTTAGTAATTATATATGTTAATGTTGATTTTTTTTCCAGAATGTTTTAATTATTTTATTTTATTTTTATACAGGATTAATTATATGTATTTTTTTTATGGTAATTAACTAGATAAATATATTTTAGTTGATAATAATTACATTAATTGAAATGTATTATAGGAATTATTTATATTATTTTATTTTTATCATTTTATTGTTATTATTATTATTATTATTTTTATTCTACGATGATTTTGTATGGGGTCGTAGCGTCTTGTTTAGGGTGTCTGTCTCTGTCTCTCTCTCTGTGTTCACGTATTAAGCGATGACTTTTTTTTCCGCATATATGTTTGTTGATGAACCACCCCACACTCCCTAACCTAACCTAACCCTAACCTAACCTAACCAACGTAATCCTAACCTAACCTAACCTAATCCTAACCTAACTCTAACCTAACCAACGTAATCCTAACCTAACCTAACCCTAACCTAACTCTAACCTAACTAACGTAATCCTAACCTAACCTAACTAACGTAATCCTAACCTAACCCTAACGTAATCCTAACCTAACTTAACACAGTCTTTCATCTCTGTATAGTTCGTTAAATAGAGGTTTCACATCTAACGGACCCTCGATATAATGGACTTTTACCTAACCTAAACCTCGATAAAATGAACTTCCCACTCCACACAGAACCTCGATATAACAGACTTCCATCTCACGAAACCTCAATAAAATGAACTTTCCTCTAGATTATAAGAATTTCACACAGTAGTCAATCAAATGGCGTGTTTTACCCTCTGTTTACCTCCACCAGTCGGCACTGAGCAGTTTCTACGAGGAGGGTGATGATGTAGCGCCCGCTGGGGAGCCACTAGGTGATAGACCCGAGGCTGAAGGAGCGCCCAGTACACCCCAGAGGCCGTCCTCACAACCTACACAGTTACAGAAGTATTGATACTTGTTCTTATAACCTAACCTAACCTAAACTAGTCTTAAACTAACCTAACCTAACCTAATCTAGTCTTAAACTAACCTAACCTAATCTAGTCTTAAACTAACCTAACCTAATCTAGTCTTAAACTAACCTAACCTAATCTAGTCTTAAACTAACCTAATCTAACTTAACCGAACATAATCGAGCATAATCTAGTCTTAAACTAACCTAACCTATCACTAATCTAGCTTAACCTAACATAATGTAACCCAACGTAACATAATCGAGCCTAATCTAGTCTTAAACTAACCTAACCTATCACTAATCTAACGTAACTTAACCTAGCATAATCTAACCTAACCTCGTCTTAAACTAACCTAACCTAACCAAACTAACGTAACATAATCTATAAATTAACCTAACCCCTTTACAGAAAATTTATAGAATCTTATATGGTAGAAAAATTATATTAAAATGCCCAATAAATGTTAAATTATCAGTTAAAATCGCTAATCCACGTTAAACACCTCAGGGCCATAATTAACATGATGGATAGAGACGGCGAGAGCAGCAGCGAGGAGGATGGCCAAGCTTTCTATGCCGGGGGGTCGGAGCATTCTGGCCAACAGGTCCTTGGGCCCCCTAAGAAGAAGGCCGATATGGTTGCCAAGCTGTTCAAATCGGCCAAAGAGTAAGTATGTGGTGTCAGGTGTTAGTGGTGTCAGATAGTGGTGTCAGCCCTTAGTGTGGGGTTAGTGTCAGGTGTTAGTGGTGTCAGGCCTTAGTGTATGGTTAATGTCAGCTTATATTTTAAAGAGTGAAAAAGTGTTCAATAATAATTACTGTCTTTTTCTTTCCTCTCTCCCTCTCTCTCTTTCCCTCCCTCTCTCCCTCCCTCTCTCTCCCTCAGACACGGAGCGGAAGTCCTGGAAAGCGGAAAGGAAGGGAAGAAACAAAAGAAAATTACCTTTGGCGGAACGGGTTATCGCCTCGGTGGCTCATGACGACCACAGGGAGTTCAAGGAGGTGTTTGAGGTGAGTTAGGTGGTGGTGGTTTGGAGGTTGTTCAAAAGAGGTTAAGTTCAAGGAGGTGGTGGTTGGAGGGTTAGGTTCAGGAGGTGGTGGTTTGGAGGTTAGGTTCAGGAGGTGGTGGTGGTTTGGAGGTGAGGTTCAGGAGGTGGTGGTTTGGAGGTTAAGTTCAGAGGTGGTGGTTTGGAGGTTAGGTTCAGGAGGTGGTGGTTTGGAGGTTAGGTTCAAGAGTGGTGGTGGTTTGGAGGTGAGGTTCAAGGAGGTGGTGGTTTGGAGGGTGAGGTTCAGGAGGTGGTGGTTTGGAGGTTAGGTTCAAGAGGTGGTGGTTTGGAGGTGAGGTTCAAGGTGTGGTTTGGAGGGTTAAGTTCAAGGAGGTGGTGGTTTGGAGGTTAGGTTCAAGGAGGTGGTGGTGGTTTGGAGGTTAGGTTCAGGAGGTGGTGGTGGTTTGGAGGGTTAGGTTCAAGGAGGTGGTGGTTTGGAGGGTGAGGTTCAAGGAGGTGGTGGTGGTTTGGAGGGTGAGATTCAAGGGAGGTGGTGGTTTGGAGGGTTAGGTTCAGGAGGTGGTGGTGGTTTGGAGGTTAGGTTCAAGGAGGTGGTGGTTTGGAGGTTAAGTTCAAGAGGTGGTGGTTTGGAGGTGAGTTCAAGGAGGAGGTGGTTGGAGGTGAGGTTCAGTGGTGGTGGTTTGGAGGGTTAGGTTCAAGGAGGTGGTGGTGGTTTGGAGGTTAGGTTCAAGGAGGTGGTGGTTTGGAGGGTGAGTTAGAGGAGGTGGTTTGGAGGGTTAGGTTCAAGGAGGTGATGGTTTGGAGGGTTAGGTTCAAGGATGAGGTGGTTTGGAGGGTTAGGTTCAAGGTGGTGGTGGTTTGGAGGGTGAGGTTCAAGGAGGTGGTGGTTTGGAGGGTTAGGTTCAAGGAGGTGGTGGTTTGGAGGGTTAGGTTCAAGGATGAGGTGGTTTGGAGGGTTAGGTTCAAGGAGGTGGTGGTTTGGAGGGTGAGGTTCAAGGAGGTGGTGGTTTGGAGGGTTAGGTTCAAGGAGGTGGTGGTTTGGAGGGTTAGGTTCAAGGAGGTGGTTTGGAGGGTTAGGTTCAAGGAGGTGGTGGTTTGGAGGGTGAGGTTCAAGGAGGTGGTGGTTGTTTGGAGGGTTAGGTTCAAGGAGGAGGTGGTGGTTTGGAGGGTGAGGTTCAAGGAGAAAGATATTGGAAGCATAATGTGTTGTCTAATGGTTGACCCTAGGCTGCCATATGTGACCAAGACCCAGGTTGATGATCTGACTTTCTGCCTCATTTACATAACAGGGTCTCAATTATTTCTCTTAACGACCCTCCACACAACAGGGTCTCAATTATTTCTCTTAACGACCCTCCACACAACAGGGTCTCAATTATTTCTTTTAACGACCCTCCACACAGTTATCCCAGACACATCGAAGAAGGAGGAACGGCCTCGTGACGTCGCTCTCAAGATGTGGAGGACCGGGTTTACCGTGGACGATGGGCCACTACGAACATATGAAGACGCGACCAATGCTGAATTTCTCAACTCTATAAAGCGTAGGTGAGTGTGAGAGAGAGAGAGAGAGAATGAGTGTATGTATGTATGTATGTATGTATGTATGTAAGTAAGTAAACACGAGAGACTGTACAACCCAATCCAACGACCCCAAACAACCGTCGCTCATCTTTTCAGTGAGGTACCCCTAGAGCTGATCAGGGAAGCGAGGGGGGGCGAGGTTTACATCAACATGGCCGACCACCGACACGAGGATTATGTCCAGTCGAGATCGTCTCTGAGGGCCTTCTCCGGCTCGGGTCATACTCTAGGCAGGTGAGGTCAACGGTGATTAGCCTGTCGTCTGTCTGTCTTTCGATCTTTATCTGTCGTTTGTGGTTTTTTTTAGTCTGTTTTTAATCCCGAAATTCTTGTGTTTTTTTTTTTTTAGCCTAGCCCCAATGGTAGTCGGACAAGAGACGGAGCCCCTAGGAGCCGTGGGAGGAGCGAGCGTCAACACCACTCTGATCGCCTCCACTTCGAAGGACCCCAAGGCACTAGAGAACGCAGCCCAGGCCAAGCTCAACGTTAATACCAGCGCCCCCGTCACTAACATACAGGTGCCGGTCTATTGTTTTTGTGGGGTCTTGAGATCTTGTGTTGTGATAAATTGTTTATCTCTCATCCACATTCCTAAAACACATTCTTCCATTCCAGGTGCGTTTGCCCGACGGATCTCGCCTCGTCCTCAAAGTCAACCACTCTCACACCATCAGGGACATTCGGCAGTTCATCTCGGCCGCTCGACCCGCCATACAGTCAACGGAATTCGCCCTCATGACGACCTTCCCGTACGCCGAGCTGACGGACGTTTCTCAGACCGTAGAGGAGGGGAAACTCTTAAATTCGGCCCTGGTCGTTAAAACCAAATAATTCCCGGTAGTTATTAAGCTCGACGAGGCAGTTACCCGGGACCGGTATTGCGTAGTTTCTGACGTTTCGATACTTTGTCCGAGTTATTGATATTTTTGGGGAAGTACCGTGAATGCAAAGTAATTAACCAAAAGTATCGATAACTTGTAAATAATGCTGATATATATATATGCTTTTCAATAAGGTATCGAGGTATTAATCCCAACCGATACCACATTGTAAGGTATCGGCATTGTTGAAAATACCGATATCGGTCAATTCTCGGTAAAATACCAAAATATGATAAAGTTAACATTGTGATTCTAGTATAAATTCTAACATTGTCATCCCGATATAAATTCTAATATGATCCCAGTATAAATTCCATCAATATGCTCCTGGGATAAATGCCATTAATATGCTCCTGGGATAAATGCCATCAATATGCTCCTGGGATAAATTCTAACAAATAATGGAATTTACTCAATGCTCCAGCTTATCTTAAGGAACTATTACTCAATTTACCTCTGTCTTTATGTATTTAGGACGATCAATTACTGGAAGGTCTTAGAAAATACCTTATTACAGGTGTGCTTTTGTTATTAATTGAATTTACCTGAAGAAATGACACCTGAGTTTATTTTACCTGATTAACTAACTAACCTAACACTACCCTAACCTAACCAATCCTAGTACTAACCTAACCTCAGTTAAATAGCACCTGGTTAGTTAATAATCAGGTGGAATAATCCTCAATGGTGGAAAATTTCAACATCGGGCAATTCGAATTATTTTACCCTGAATCCCGACGGTAACATTCATGGCAACGATAACATAAATAATGATATATTCTTCCGTTATATAGGAAAGCTACGATTACTTTGTGTTGTTTGTTTTTTTTTGCACACGGCGTTTATTGTTTTTTCTTGTATGTGTTTAGGCTCGGATATTTGCAATGTAATCGAGATATGTTGGAATTGGTAGAAATACACTGAAAATTTTGTTAAGTCGTCGTTTTATTGTACCTGTGAATGTTTTGGTTTATTCCTGGCTCCTCCACATTCTTGACCCACCTGGATACTCTCCCCAACAACTGCCGACTGATCACCTGCCGTTCGCCAATCAGCTTACAGGTAGTAGAAGCCCCAGCTACGTCAAGACTAGGTCTCGGGTGAGGACGTAGGGGGTACTACTGATCACCGACCTCCTATTGGTTAATTCAAGTCGCGCTTACAGAGTTCTCCTGCACGACACCAAAGAGTACTTTTTGTTGCTGTGGCCCGTGGAAAGAAGTTCTTGTGCGGAAGCCTGGTTGCAACAAAAGCAATCCAGGCTGGCAGTAAATGTATCACTTGAAGAATTAAGGCTCTGTTAAGTTATACCCATAGTAGAGTAATCACATGTGTCCCCAAGTTAAAATTCTCTTTTAGATTAATTTTATTACAGCGTGAACGTGAGTGAATCATATATCCATGCAAATTGTAAATCATTGTATGGAAGCTTGACAAATAAATGTAAGTGCAATTATCTGCCCGTATCTGTGATCCTATCTTATTATTACTAAAGGTAATGACTGATTGGTTATGACAAAGTATAACCAGTAACTTAGATGGATGTTGAAATTTAAATGAATTCATTAAATCATCATTTATCAAGTATAAATCATGGAATGTCGAGTGGTGGAGTGAACTATGTAGATACGCCATAATCTCCTGTAAGTAATCAGTGTGAAGGTATCGAACTCTACGGTAAGAAATACGACATATTATTATCTTTATATAATATAATCCACTCCAGCTACCACCGATTCTTCTTGGTGGACCGAACCATACCAAAACCATGACACTGACCAATGGCATAAATACGCGTAGGCCTGTGGAGATCATTCTACTCTACTCTCACCAACCAGCAAGACCTGCAAACAAGCGCCTCACCACACACCAACTCCTTAACACTGCACTGTACTTACAATATATATACAGGAAACGCATTGTGAGTTTCTATTCTTGCTGCCATCCCGAGTGCGAGATATCTTACCTGTATGTACGTTTGTGAGCCCAGACAAGAGAGAATTGACAACTAACCACATACAGTACGCTATAATTGGTGACCGTCAGTTACAGAATGCTACACTACCCCTGTCTCCTCCACATTCTTAACCTACCCCTCTACATTCTCAGCTCTACAAAGCATTCTATCCAACACAAAATCCCACATCAAGGCCATGACAAATTAACACTACAAAATACAAATTCTTATAATAACTACAGTATTCTCAAGAATATGCAACCACACTTCTAATAAATGGAAGAATTACCACGATAATTCTTGATAATCGTACCACAAATAATTACTGGGTGTTTGATAATACTTTCTTTAGTAATTACAGAATAAACTTACCATTAATTCCTTGATAATTCTGTCACAAACTACTTCGGTAGAATCCCTTACGAATGATTATTTCTCACCAATAATTACAGAAGAATAATCCGCTGTACCCCAAAGCTGTAATAAAAACCAATGTATTTTGAATCATTTTATTACAAAGAAATTATCAAGTAACGTAATTTTTTTCTCAATTGCCTGAAAAATTTTCCTAGTTTAAAAAAAAAAATTAAAAAAAAATCAAGTTCTGATACTAACGTGTTCAGGTAAGTTCAATGTCTTCTGAACTGTTTTTTGAACTTCTCGTAATGGAAGTCATCCGTCGCCTTTTCACCGTGGGGTCTCTTAGGGGCTATAGTAGAGATCTTTACTCCGCCTCCTACCACGGGTTCGACGATTTCCTGGACTTTCTTCTCCTGCTTCTTGGCCGGGCCGGTTTCTTCGAGGTTAACTGGGGAAAAAATTATAAAAAATTCTCTTATTAATATTTGGCTTTTTTAGATTTTTTTTTAAGGGAATAAGATTTTTCGTTTTATATAAGGGATGACTTGAAGATTAGACACCCTAGTTTATTTTACCTGAAGAGTAGACACCCTAGTTTACTTCGCTTGAGGATTAGACACCCTAATATAAATCAGTTTCAATCACAGTTCCTCCCCGACTTACGACGGGGTTAGGGACCCAAATCCAGGTCGTAAGTGGAAATGGTCGCAAGTCGAAAATGCTTAAATAATACACTGAAAATCTAAAATGGGTGTCTCTTTTTCTTCTCGGCACCACAAAACTCTCACTTTTTAAGTTTTTACGACCCGCCTCAGTCGTAACAAAATTTTGTCAAATTACGTATTTTCGAGTCCCAACGTCAGTACACAGACAAAATTTTCGTGTATAATTCACTTTAAAATATCTGGCAAGCTTAAAAGTGAGAGTTTTGTGGTGCTGAGAAGAAAGAGAGACAACCATTTTAGATTTTTTATGTATTATTTAAGCATTTTCGACTTACGACCTGGATTTGGGTCCCTAACCCCGTCGTAAGTCGGGGAGGAGCTGTATTATATAAATCAGTTTCCAGTATATAAATCCATATACAGTACTGTATTAAAACAAACAAATCGAACTTATGAATCACGCCTCACAAACACCAAAAAATGAGTCAAATTTATGAATCACGACTCACAAACACCAAAAAATGAGTCAAATTTATGAATCACGACTCACAAACCCCAAACTCACATCTGTTATGCTGCACGAAGTTGACAGCCATGTTTTTGGGGACAAACTCCGACGGCCGTTCTTTTTTCATCATGCTCTCGCGGAGGAGCTTCTGTTTGGCTTCCTCTGTGGCTTCGATGTTGCGGATTTTGGCTTCGAGGCCCAAGTCCACCTCTGGGATTCCACTCAGCATCTGGAATTCAATAATAATATAGTTTCAGGCCCAAATTCAACTCTGGGGTTACAATAAACACCTGGAATCCAGTGTTTCAGGACAAAATATACTTCAGGGATTCCACTAAACATCTGGAATTCAATAATAATATACCTTAAGGCTAAAATTCACCTCTGAGGTCCACTAAACATCTGGAATTCAATAACAATAAAATTTCACGTCAAAATATACTTCAGGGATTCCACTAAACATCTGGAATTCAATGTTTCAGATCTAAATATATTTCAGGGGTCCACTAATATCTGAAATTTCATTATTAAGTTCAAAGTGTAAATCTATTTCAGATGATTCGAGTCACAATCTTTTTCATAAATTTCAATCCCATGAGATATATTTCAAGTTTAAGACACTAATCTTTTTCAGGGGCACTTGACCCAGTACACTTGACCCTTGTGATTGGAAAGGTATCTGCAAGGTCTGATTTGGTTTGATTAGGTTAGGTTAGGATAGATTAGCATTAGGTTAGGTTAGCATTGTCATGTTAGCATTAGGTTAGGTTAGCATTGTCATGTTAGCATTAGGTTAGGTTAGCATTGTCATGTTAGCATTAGGTCAGGTTAGCATTAGGTTAGGATAGATCAGGTAGGGGTTAGCATGAGGTTTGGTTAGCATTGTCATGTTAGCATTAGGTTAGGTTTGCTTAGGTTAGGTTAGATTAGGTAGGGGTTAGCATTGTCATGTTAGCATTTGGTTAGATTTCATTAGGTTAGGTTAGATTAGGTTAGGTTAGATTAGGTTGTTAGGTTAGGTTAGGTTAGATTAGATTAGGTTAGGTTTGATTAGGTTGTTAGATTAGGTTAAGTCAGATGGCCTATTTCATCTCACCTGGTTACTCAACATTTCTTCACTTCTCTTGCTGGTCGACTCCCTCAATATATCGGGGACAGCGTGTAAGGCGGCCTCCTCTAGTGTCTGGTAGCGAGGCTGTTCGTCTTGCTTATCCTCCGACTCGATACCCTTACGCTTGGCTAGATTCTCCTCGATATATTTCTGCCTGGAGGAATGTAAATAAATCGAAATAAATCGTTAATATTTTGTTCTGTGGTGTCGATAAATTACACACACACACACACACACTAAAAAAAATGGCATAATTAGCATTTCTTTGTACAGTATGCTCACCTGTACAGTAATTAGCTCCTCTTAATCAGCTCCCCATTATGTCACCTGTACAGTAATTAACTCAACCACACAGTAATTAAACCCCTATTAACCCCCACCCCAGAACCATCACATCATCTCACATCTCGGCGTCCTCGTCACGTCGGTTGGTTTCCGCGGAGAACGACGTGCCGATGCCAGTGTCATACGCGTCGTCGGTCTTCTTGGCGTTCTTCACCTGTGATAAGTCTAGCATTCCTCCACTCTTTGTCTTAAATGGGTCATCCTGGGGTAAAAAAAAGTCTTAATTAACCCATAGGAAAAGTCTTAATTATATCCTGGGGAAAAAATTTAACTTAAATGGGTCGTCCTGGGAAAAAAATTTACGTAAATGGATCGTCCTCGGCAAAAAAATGGTCTTAATTACATCATTCGGAAAAAAAGTCTTTAATACAACCTTGGTAAAAAAGTCTTTAATTACATCCTTAATAAAAATAATGGTCTAAAAATTTTTTTCTCGTGGTCTGAAAAATTGCAGATGGAATTTAATGTGGACAAATGTAAAGTAATTAGTCTAGGAGATGTAAACCAAATGTTATTGAGAAATGTAACTGTGAGAAAGATTTAGGAGTACAGTACAGTACAGTATAGTCTTGATTTACGCGGATTTGGTTTAAGCGTTTGGTCATTTACGCGGCACTTTGCCAGAATGAAAATTTTAAGTTAGCGGTTCATTCCATCATTTACGTGGGAAGCGGCGCCTGGAGGGTGCGCATTAGGTCGCTCTTACGTTATCGCTGATGTCGTATGACGTATCGGACTGTGATTGGGCCACACATACTTACCTCCCTCTGCCGCTAGCTGTGATTGGTCTAATGTAGCATGACGTGCCCTGCCACCAGAGGGAAGAAGTCACTGACCTAGCCAGGCCAGTCTCATTGTTCTAAGTCTCCACGTATACAGTTCTCTCTTGTGCCCGCTATTCCCCTCACAATGGCTTCCGCTGGACTCCCACCACCCCCGAGAAACCTTGAACTACCTGGACCAAGCCATGGTTATGTGAAGGAAGTCATCGAGTTGGGGGAGAAAATCAAGCTCATCCTTGACAAAGACACAGTCAAGCATCGGTATGAAGTGTCTAATAACCTTCTGTCGAAAATTATGGAGCAGTATGTCCAGATGTATCACGACAACATCAATGCTAATCGTCAACGTAGTATTATGGAGTTCTTCGCCCGCAACCCACCACAACCACAGCCAGCCCAAGTCAGTGATAGTGAGGATATGGACTTTGAGGGGTTTGTCTGGGAGGCCCTGCAAACCTCTGTGAGTAGTGATAGTGATTCACCGGAGGGCCACTAATCTGCCCTCTGCCTCGGAACCAGCCGCCATCCACGTGTGCCGACCCATCTCTTCTACTAAGGCAAGTGTTAAACACCTTTAGATTTGTAGTTTTTTATTTAGATATTATGTGTGTGTGTCAATACCATCATAAAAGGTACGTATTGTGTCGGAAAAAGTGGAGTTTGGGGGTCGGCCCAGTCTCTATTTCAATTAATCCCATATGTTCTGTTATTTCGTTTACGCGTTTCTCATTTTACGCGGACCTCCACGGGTTCAATTGACCGCCTAAATCAAGACTATACTGTATTGATAAGTAGGAATCTTAAGCCAAGTAAACAATGTGTTTTTGCTCGTAACAAGGCTAATAAAGTACTTGGGTTCATACAAAGGAGTGTTAGTTACAAGACTAGCGAGGTCATCCTAAAACTGTATCTTGCTCTTGTGAGACCACACCTGGATTACGCAGTTCAGTTCTGGTCACCGTATTACAGAATGGATATAGAATCCTTGGAAAGAATTCAGGGGAGAATGACAAGACTAGTCCCGGGCATTAGGAACCTTGAGACGTAGAGCGAGGGGCGACCTGATAGAGGTGTATAAGTGGAAGTCAGGGCTAAACAAAGGCAACATTACAAAGGTACTCAAACTATTCAACCAGGAGCGAACTCGTAACAATGGTTTTAAATTAGACAAATTTAGATTTAGGCGAGAAATAGGTAAACACTGATGAATGGAACAAGTTACCAAACATCATCATTAACTCGAATACGCTGGATAGCTTCAAAAATAGGTTGGATGGATATATGAGCGATAGGGGTTGGTTAGGTTAGGTTGGATGGCTATATGAGCGATAGGGGTTGGTTAGGTTAGGTTGGATGGCTATATGAGCGATAGGGGTTGGTTAGGTTAGGTTGGATGGATATATGAGCGATTGAGGTTCGGTGTAAATGGGGCACCCTGCCTAGTATGGGCCAATCATCCTGGGAAAAAAATAAAATAGTTAATGTTTCCTCCAGTTTTATGTGTGGGAAAAATTATCTTTAATCATCCTGGGAAAAAAAAATAACAAAATTAATAAATAAAAGAAAGTAAGTATTTGAGTTATATTAATTAATATGAGAGAGAGAGTGAGAGAGAGAGAGAGAGAGAGAGAAAAAAAAAAGAGACAGAGAGACCAGAGAGAGAGAAACAAATTGACAGACAGAGAGAGAGAGAGTGCAACACAGACAGACAGAAAGACAAACAGAAAAAAGACGAGACAGACAGACAGACAGACAGACAGCATCTCACCTCACCGCCCTCCTGTTTAGTAGTCTTCTCCCCGACCAACAGACCTTGAGCACTTATGCCAACGTGTCGACGGCGATACTTCCTCAATTCTTTACTCTCCAGCAATTTCAATCTGTAAACAAGACAGGAAAATGGCACGTCGTGTTAGTACATTATCACGTGAAGATTGGCCCTCCTCACTTGATTATTTTACCTGATTGATACCCTTTGGTTTGGTTGGGGAAAAGGTTTGGTTAGGTTAGGGAATGGGTAAAATTATCACTTAGGTCATCCAGCGATTTTCAGATTGGCGTTTCTTCCGCTCATGATAACTTCTGAGAAAATCTCAAAAAAAAAAGAAATTCGTGGTAATTTTTGCAAGTTCTCGTTGATGTTAAAGCCACCCCAGAGAACTCCCGTGCGTTCGTGTGCCGGTTAGTAGGCTGAATTCCGCACGCGTCACAGTCTACCACATGCGGAAATGTTCTTTGGACGTTGATTGGTGGGTATGATCCGAGACTGACCAATCACAGCTCGGTATAGCCCCCTGCAGCGACCCCCTTGGATTTTATTTTATTGTGTAATGGCAGTGCTGTAGATTATTGCACAAACCAACACAAGATTTCACCTCGAATGTTACGGTGAGGACGACGAGGCGTTAACATTTCTCCACCGACGCAGTGTTTTGCCGGCTGTGTTTACTGATACGAACTATAAGCGTCCCTGTAGCTATCAAACGGAAAAAATAAACCTTAAGGTACCGCGGAAGAATTACCGTCCGGAAATCGAAGAAAACGGAACGTGGTTAAACAGCGTCACTATAAAGGAATATTTCTCGACGGTGTACATCACTGGCTCCAGTAGGCATGACACCACCAGACTGTCATTAACCGCCCTCATATGCCTCCTAGTACAAGTGTCGAGTGGCGTAATTTATGTTCGGAAGTGACACAGTACTGTTTTGACCAAGAGCCAGTAGGAGGCGCCGGTGTCATCGTGGAAATAAACGCGTCAAAATTTGCCAGGAGGAACTATTTCATCGGCCGTCTTGTAAATAATACCAGAGTGTTCGGCCGCACCCAGAGGACCCCAGATAAGATTTTTTCACCGTCTCTCGGCTGTAGACGCGACGCTGCTACGCTAATTAATTAAAATCAATTCCCAAGAGGAACTATTTCAGCGGACATCTTGTAAATAATACCAGAGTGTTTGGCCGCACCCAGAGGACCCCAGAGAAGATTTTTCACAGTCTCTCGGCTGTAGACGCGACGCTGCTACGCTAATTAATTAAAATCAATTCCCAAGAGGAACTATTTCAGCGGACCATCTTGTAAATAATACCAGAGTGTTTGGCCGCACCCAGAGGACCCCAGAGAAGATTTTTTCATCATCTCTCGGCTATAGACGCGACGCTGCTACGCTAATTAATTAAAATCAATTCCCAAGAGGAACTATTTCAGCGGCCATCTTGTAAATAATACCAGAGTGTTCGGCCGCACCCAGAGGACCCCAGAGAAGATTTTTTCACCGTCTCTCGTCGAATCTCTCGGCTATAGACGCGACGCTGCTACGCTAATTAATTAAAATCAATTCCCAGTGAGGTATTGTTTGTATATGGATGACCAGGTGATATATGGCCTCTGATGACAAAAAAAATTAAAAAAAATACGACAAATTTCAATTTTTTTTAGCGATTTTCACTTAAAATTATAACGAACGGAAGAAATAGCATAGAAGAAAAGTGACTTAAAATTATCTAAAATAATGATTCCAAAAGCTTAAAAACCTAAAAAAAAAAAAAATTACTGAATGACCTTAAGACCAAACCTAACCTAACCAAACCAAATCTAAACGATAATATAACCAAGAAATTATCATGTATTAGTAAATTATCACATGAAGATTAGCGCCCCATTGATTAAATACCCTTAGGTTAGGTTAAATTAGGTAAGATAAGGTAAGATAAGGTGAGGTAAGATAAGGTTAAACCACATCACAAATCATCACACTTATACTCACATCAACGCCTCATCTTCATTACTTCCCTCATCCTCTTCATCTATCTCTCTCTTCCTCCTATTATTCTTATTCTTCACCTTTTTAAACGTTATTTTAGGCTCCTCACAGACTTCTTCCTCAGCACCAGCCGCCATCATGTTTACCTCTAACAGTGTTGCCACCTCACTCTATAAGGTCACTCTTTGATAAAATTCGTTAATAATCACTAATTTATCTTTTGTATTAATAAAAGTTAACTAAAATAATTTATAATATCGTTAAAAATCATTAATATATCGTTAAATATCGTTTAATGTTAATAGTCTTCCTGGTGGTTGGTAAAAAAAATATATAATAAATTCACCAAACAAGTCGCTAAATTAAGCTTAACATAGATAAAATTAACTAAAAAGTCGTTAAATTAAGCATAATATAGATAAAATTAACTAAAAAATCGTTAAATTTATGCAAAAAAATCACTATAATAACGTTAAAAATTAATAAAAGATTTAATATAATTTTTCTAATTAATGTGACTATTTTATCTAAGGTGGTAACACTGATTAATCCGGATTGACAAGAACGCTCATTTGAATCCGGATTTATTTTCTTTTAATGAATCCGGATTTATATTCTTTATTGATATTTACTAGATTGATAGATATAGGTACTTAGATAGCTAAATAAATTGATAGATGGCAAAGAAGGAGGGTACAGTACTCATCCATGACTCATAACACAGCAGCCTTCAGCACCCCCTCCAACACTGATCATGTCACCCAGGCAGCAGTACTCATCCATGACTCATAACACAGCAGCCTTCAGCACCCCCTCCAACACTGATCATGTCACCCAGGCAGCAGTACTCATCCATGACTCACACCACAGCAGCCTTCAGCACCCCCTCCAACACTGATCATGTCACCCAGGCAGCAGTACTCATCCATGACTCATAACACAGCAGCCTTCAGCACCCTCCAACACTGATCATGTCACCCAGGCAGCAGTACTCATCCATGACTCATAACACAGCAGCCTTCAGCACCCCTCCAGCACTGATCATGCCCAGGCAGCAGTACTCATCCGCAGCCTCCAGCACCTCAACATTCATGTCCCAGGCAGCAATCTCCCATGACTCACACACAGCAGCCTTCAACCCCTCCAGCACGATCATGCCCCAGGCAGCAGTACTCATCCATGACTCACAACACAGCAGCCTTCAGCCCCTCCAGCACTGATCATGTCACCCAGGCAGCAGTACTCATCCATGACTCACAACACAGCAGCCTTCAGCACCCCTCCAGCACTGATCATGTCACAGGCAGCAGTACTCACCATGACTCACAACGCAGCCTTAGCACCCCCCAACACTGATCATGTCCCAGGCGCAGTACTCATCAGACTCACAACACACGCCAGCACCTCCAACACTGATCAGTCACCCAGGCAGCAGTACTCATCCATGACTACAGCAGCCAGCACCCCTCCAGCACTGATCATGCCCAGGCAGCAGTACTCACCCATGACTCATAACACAGCAGCCTTCAGCACCTCCAACACTGATCATGTCACCCAGGCAGCAGTACTCACCCGACTCACACAGCAGCCTTCAGCACCCCCCAGCACTGATCATGTCACCGGCAGTACTCACCACCATGACTCATAACACAGCAGCCTTCAGCACCCCTCCAGCACGATCATGTCACCCAGGCGCCACCGACTCAACACAGCAGCCTTCAGCCCCCTCCAGCACTGATCATGTCACCCAGGCAGCAGTACTCACCCATGACTCATAACACAGCAGCCTTCAGCACCCCTCCAGCACTGATCATGTCACCCAGGCAGCAGTACTCATCCATGACTCTAGCACAGCAGCACCCCTCCAGCACTGATCTGTCACCCAGGCAGCAGTACTCACCCATTCTAACACAGCAGCCTTCCACCCCTCCAGCACTGATCGTCACCCAGGCAGCAGTACTCACCCGACTCCTAACACAGCGCCTTCAGCACCCCTCCAGCACTGATCATGTCACCCAGGAGGTACTCATCCGACTCACCAGCCTGCCTCAGCACTGATGTCACCCAGGCAGCAGTACTCACTGACTCACCAGCAGCCTGCACCCCTCCAGCACGATCATGCCCAGGCAGCAGTACTCACCCATGACTCATAACACAGAGCCTTCAGCACCCCTCAGCACTGATCATGTCACCCAGGCAGCAGTACTCACCCATGACTCGCCAACACATGACCTTCTTCCCTCCAGCATGATCATCACCCAGGCAGCAGTACTCATCCATGACTCATAACACAGCAACCTTCAGCACCCCCTCAACACTGATCATGTCACCCAGGCAGTACTCATCCATGACTCACAACACAGCAGCCTTCAGCACCCCTCAGCACTGATCATGTCACCCAGGCAGCAGTACTCACCCGACTCATAACACAGCAGCCTTCAGCGCCCCTCAGCGCCTGATCATGTCACCCAGGCAGCAGTGCTCATCCATGACTCGCACAGCAGCCTTCAGCACCCCTCCAGCACTGATCATGTCACCCAGGCAGCAGTACTCATCCATGACTCACAACACAGCAGCAGCAGCACCCCTCCAAGCACTGATCATGTCACCCAGGCAGCAGTACTCACGCGACTCTAACACAGCAGCCTTCAGCACCCCCTCCAGCGCAGTCATGTCACCCAGGCAGCAGTACTCATCCATGACTCATAACACAGCGGCTTCAGCACCTCCAGCACTGATCATGTCACCCAGGCAACCCAATGCTGCCATGACTCATAACACAGCAGCCTTCAGCACCCCTCAGCACTGATCATGTCACCCAGGCAGCAGTACTCACCGCGAGCTCATAACAGCGGCAACCCCAGCACCCCCCTCCAGCACGATCCGCTGTCACCCAGGCAGCAGTACTCACCCATGACTCATAACACAGCAGCCTTCAGCACCCCCTCCAGCACAGTCATGTCACCCAGGCAGCAGTACTCATCCGCGACTCTTAACACAACATTATTAACGCCTCAACACTGATCATGTCACCCAGGCAGCAGTACTCATCCGCGACTCACAACACAGCAGCCTTCAGCACCCCTCCATGCCCCTGATCATGTCACCCAGGCGGCAGTACTCACCCATGACTCATAACACAGCAGCCTTCAGCACCCCCCTCCAGCACGATCATGTCACCCAGGGCAACAGTACTCATCCATGACTCATAACACAGCCTTCAGCACCCCTCCAGCACTGATCATGTCGCAGGCAGCAATGCCATCACCCATTTCCACAACACAGCGGCACCCCAGCACCCCTCCAGCACTGATCATGTCACCCAGGCAGCAGTATCGCCAGCAGCCTTCAGCACCCCTCCAACACTGATCCATGTCACCCAGGCAGCGGTACCACTTGTTCTCTTTGGCAGCCTTCAGCACCCCCCTCCAGCACCTGGTCATGTCACCCGGGCAGCAGTACTCATCATATCATAACAGCAGCCTTCAGCACCCCTCAACTGATCGTATCACCCAGGCAGCAGTACTCACCCATGACTCGCCAGCAGCTGTAGCACCCTCAGCTGATCATGTCATCCAGGCGCGAGTACTCACCCATGACTCATAACACAGCAGCGCTGGCACCCCTCAACACGATGTGTCTTAGGCAGCAGTACTCACCCATGACTCATAACAGCCTTCAGCACCCTCCAACATGATCGTGTCACCCAGGCAGCAGTGCTACCCATGACTCATAACACAGCAGCCTTCAGCACCCCCTCCAACATAGATCATGTCACCCAGTGGCGTACTCACCCATGACTCACAACACAGCGGCCTTCAGCACCCCCTCCAACACTGATCATGTCACCCAGGCAACGGTACTCACCCATGACTCATAACACCGGCCTTTAGCACCCCTCAACGCAGTCATGTCACCCAGACGCCCAGTACTCATCCATGACTCACAACACAGCAGCCTTTCCTCAGCACTGATCATGTCACCCAGGCAGCAGTACTCACCCCTTGACTCATAACACAGCGGCCTTCAGCACCCCTCCAACACTGATCATGTCACCCAGGCAGCAGTACTCATCCATGACTCATAACACAGCAGCCTTCAGCACCCTCTGGCCTGGTCATGCAGGCAGCAGTGCTCATCCATGACTCACAACACAGCAGCCTTCAGCACCCCTCAACACTGATCATGTCACCCAGGTTGGCAATCGCCACCATGACTCATAACACAGCGGCCTTCAGCACCCCTCCAACACTGATCATGTCACCCAGGCAGCAGTGCTCATCCATGACTCATAACACAGCGGCACTGGCACCCCCTCCAAACACCAGTCATGTGTGCCCAGGCAGCAGTACTCATCCATGACTCACAACACAGCAGCCTTCAGCACCCCTCCAACGCGATCATGTCGCAGGCAGCAGTATACATCCATGACTCACAACACAGCGGCCTTCAGCACCCCCTCCAGCGCGATCAGCGTGCGGGCAGCGGTATAATCCGCGACTCACAACGCGGCAGCCTTCAAAACTTTCCAACACTGATCGCCGCCACCCAGGCGGCAGAACTCATCCATGACTCATAACACGGCAATACTTCAGCACCCCCTCAACGCAGTCATATCGCAGGCAGCGGGTACTCATCCATGACTCATAACACGTATTCATGCCCTCCAACGCAGTCATGTCACGGGCAGCAGTGCTCATCAGCGACTCATAACGGCAGCCTTCAGCACCCCCTCCAGCACTGATCATGTCACCCAGGCAGCAGAACCCATTCCATCACTCACAACACAGCAGCCTTCAGCACCCCCTCCAGCACTGATCATGTCACCCAGGCAGCAGTACTCACCATGACTCATAACACAGCAGCTCTTCAGCACCTCCAGCACTGATCATGTCACCTATAGCAGCAGCACTCATCCATGACTCACAACACAGCAGCCTTCAGCACCTCCAACACTGGATCATGTCACCCAGGCAGCAGTATCATCCATGACTCACAACACAGCAGCCTTCAGCACCCCCTCCAACACTGATCATGTCACCCAGGCAGCAGTACTCATCCATGACTCACAACACAGCAGCCTTCAGCACCCCCTCCAACACTGATCATGTCACCCAGGCAGCAGTACTCACCCATGACTCATAACACAGCAGCCTTCCCCACCCCTGATGCCTATTAAAAGGAAGAATAAAAAAAACTATCATTTCATTATTTATTTTCCATATCTCTGGATAAATAGATTTAATTTTATTTTACACTAATGTGCAGTTAAAAAGAAATTAAAAAGAAGAATTTATACAAACAATTCCTTAAAATTACCTTGAATAAATTTATACAAATACGTAATCCCTTAAAATTACTTAGAATAAATCTATGCAAAAAATTCCTTGAAAGGATCTAAAAAAAAAAAAAAATACTAAAAAATACCTCCAAATCGCCTTAAGAAAAATGTTGACTATGGTTGAAAGCTATATTGTAATGTTCTCATGTCAAAGCTAACTGTGTATGGTGTTAGCTTAATGTATAAAACAGAGAGGCACTATTTTAGCAAACTGTGATATCTTAGCTGGACGTGATGGGGGTTTATTAGCTTACGATCGTTTAACCCTTAAATGGCAGCTAACAATTCCCTATTTCGTTCCCATGTGAGAAAATTGGTAAGCAAGGAATATGATATTTAGCTGATGGTGACCACCGTCCGTACAGCTAACTTCCACTGATGACCACCATCCCTACAGCTAACATCCACTAACGATCGTTGCTCAAGGCTTAAACCAATTACTCGAATTTTCACCACATAAAAAAAAGTTACCACAAGCTAGTTCAGCGTACGATCGTTTAGCTAATTAATCGCTTTCACTCGACCAATTCACTCGACAAGCCGTGTACAGTAATACTTCTCTTAAAGGCATTACTGAAGTTTTACAACATCATCACTATCACCATCATCATTAACAAACTCATTATCATCACTATCATCATTACCAAACTCATTATCATCACTATCAAACTCATTATCACCATCATCATTACCAAACTCATTATCATCATCATCATTACCAAACTCATTATCATCACTATCATCATTACCAAACTCATTATCATCACTATCATCATTACCAAACTCATTATCATCACTATCATCATTACCAAACTCATTATCATCACTATCATCATTACCAAACTCATTATCATCACTATCAAACTCATTATCACCATCATCACTATTTTTCACCATCCGTACCCTAAACAACAGCGAATAAACAACAAAAACAACGCAGTAAAGGCCAAAAGGAATTCCGAACTCTTTATTATTGTCACGTTTCGACGACCCCAGAGCCATGGGGTACTATTGCTGTAAATTCTCGATGAAATGTGGTAGGTTAGAATGAAGTGTGGTGGGTTAGACTGAAGTGTGGTGGGTTAGAATGAGGTGTGGTGGGTTAGAATGAAGTGTGGTGGGTTAGAATGAAGTGTGGTAGGTTAGAATGAAGTGTGGTAGGTTAGAATGAAGTGTGGTAGGTTAGAATGAAGTGTGGTAGGTTAGGGTGAAGTGTGGTAGGTTAGGATGAAGTGTGGTAGGTTAGACTGAAGTGTGGTAGGTTAGACTGAAGTGTGGTAGGTTAGACTGAAGTGTGGTAGGTTAGAATGAAGTGTAGTTAGAATGAAGTGTGGTAGGTTAGAATGAAGTGTGGTAGGTTAGAAATTATGTGTAGGTTAGAATGAAGTGCAGTTAGAATGAAGTGTGGTAGGTTAGAAATGAAGTGTGGTAGGTTAGAATGAAGTGCGGTAGGTTAGATGAAGTGCGTGTAGGTTAGAATGAAGTGCGGTAGGTTAGACTTCGAAGGTGTAGGTTAGAATGAAGTGCGTAGGTTAGAATGAAGTGTGGTAGGTTAGAATGAAGTGTGGTAGGTTAGAATGAAGTGTGGTAGGTTAGAATGAAGTGGTAGGTTAGGAATGAAGTGTGGTAGGTTAGAATGAAGTGTGTAGGTTAGAACAGAAGTATAGGTGTTAGGATGAAGTGTGTAGGTTAGGATGAAGTGTAGGTTAGGTTGAAGTGTGTAGTAGGTTAGGGGATGAAGTGTAGGTTAGAATGAAGTGTGTGGGTTAGAATGAAGGGTGAAATAGATGTGGTAGGTTAGAATGAAGTGTGGTAGGTTAGAATGAAGTGTGGTAGGTTAGACTGAAGTGTGGTGGGTTAGAATGAAGTGTGGTGGGTTAGAATGAAGTGTGGTGGGTTAGAATGAAGTGTGGTGGGTTAGTATGAAGTGTGGTAGGTTAGAATGAAGTGTGGTAGGTTAGAATGAAGTGTGGTAGGTTAGAATGAAGTGTGGTAGGTTAGAATGAAGTGTGGTAGGTTAGACTGAAGTGTGGTAGGTTAGGATGAAGTGTGGTAGGTTAGAATGAAGTGTGGTAGGTTAGAGTGAAGTGTGGTAGGTTAGAATGAAGTGTGGTAGGTTAGACTGAAGTGTGGTAGGTTAGGGTGAAGTGTGGTAGGTTAGGGTGAAGTGTGGTAGGTTAGGTTGGGTTCGGGCTTGTTAGGTTAGGATCGTTTGAAAAGAATTAAGTTAAACCACCAATCATCTACAGGAACAATTTAACCCACAGATAACAACCCAATCCCCCCCACTTAATCACCTTGCTTCACCTGCGTCCATCTGCTAACGACCTCGCTCAATTCTCCCTCACGTTATTTACTACATCTGAGGCCAAATTTCCCATTAAACATGTATACCGGTTCATTAATCTCCTATTTATTGTCTACTGGCATCTTAAAACAGTATGAAAATAGAATACCAGGATATTTCGTAATTTTAAATGACGTAGCTATTAAAATAATCACTGGCCAATCGTAGGGTAATGTCTCAATGCGCTGTCTTGTGATTGGTTGAGAAATACCGTAATAACAACACTATTATTGTATACTAGTAATAGTAATAATAGTAACAGCCATCAAAACAATCTGTACATCTGGCTGTCGCAAGATACCATTAGATTATAGGAATGTTTTCTTTATTTCTCTATCGTATCAAACACGACCCCATACTAATACAATGACCCATGAATCTGTTCTTACGAGTTAGTTTAAAAAAAATTGGAGTCTTGCGTTCATTTGACTATCTAACATAAGACCCCAATACAATAAAACAAACCGTGGATGTTTATTTACCTTTCGAACTTACCACGACCCCATCACCACTAAAATGACCCACGTACAGTCACCCCAAAAAAGTCCTGTCGCGAACCACGAGATTCAGACTCTTGAATCCGAAGTATTTATGGACAGAATAATGTATCGGTGTCCACTGCTTCGGGTTCACGAGTCTGAAATTGGGTTCGTGATTCGCGACAGGACTTTTTTGGGCGACTGTACTGTATCTAGTCCCACGAGTTCATCATTAGGTTCTTTTACCAATAACAACGAGAACTTCGAAAATTCTATCAAGCGTCGTCGAACACACATCAACGCTGCACGCTTAAGATCTAGTTTATCTCAACAAAATACATCTCGAACAGACATCGTGAAAATAAACTTTGTAAATGGTAGCCTCTTTTACTCTAGCTAGGATTCATTTGGACCGAGGAATGCGTCGTAGGGTAGGGGAGGAACGCAAGTGGCTAATGAGGTTTAATACCGTCACACGTTTCAACCATGAACGATTAATCTCTTGCGACGAATAAAATCGTCTCGGATCAGCTAAATGCCACGGTGGGTATCTTTGTGCTAAATAAAATCACCGGTGGATCGGTTAAAATATCTAAACTAACGTCCCAATACAAAAAGCGTCAAACTCCTTTCGGAAAAACAAAGTCGTCGAAACATGAATCGAATAACGCCCCATAGTACCAATACGCTTCCCCTAACCTACAACACCGGCACTTATTTACACTCGTGTTTTAACCCGACTTAAAAAAATAGATGAAGAATTCGTGGAAAAAAGTGCATTACTAAAATACAGTATAGCTAATTTACTAATGTCTATCACTTTACATTATTAGAGCAGTGAATTACATGACCAGTACAGTACATCCTGACGCAACACGACCACACCGTCCAGGCAGCTAACTACCACTGATGATGACCACCGTCCCTACAGCTAACTTCCACTGATGATGACCACCGTCCCTACAGCTAACTTCCACTGATGATGACCACCGTCCCTACAGCTAACATCCACTGATGATGACCACCGTCCCTACAGCTAACTTCCACTGATGATGACCACCGTCCCTACAGCTAACTACCCTCAAATTACATTAGGTTAGGTTATGCTAGTTTTAGGTCAGGTCAGGTCAGGCTCTTGCTGTTGTGTACAAACTATTAATATACAAAATTAATAAATAATCCCAACAATTATGAATAAACTGGAGGTCACCTGAAGAATTTACATCCTAGGTTATTTTCACCTAAAGCCAACATATTGAAGGGAATAAAGTCACTGTACTCAAGGGAATAAAGTCACTGTACTCAAGGGAATAAAGTCACTGTACTCAAGGGAATAATGTCACTGTACTCAAGGGAATAATGTCACTGTACTCAAGGGAATAAAGTCACTGTACTCAAGGGAATAAAGTTACTGTACTCAAGGGAATTAAAGTCACTGTACTCAAGGGAATTAAAGTCACTGTACTCAAGGGAATAAAGTCACTGTACTCAAGTAATTAAGAACACGTAATCAGTTCATCGAAAAATTAAACAAAAAAATAATAATAATATAATACTCAAACTATCAAAACTGTGCAATACACTTGGCAACAAAAACACACTTACACTTAACATGCACTTACACACACACTTACACTTAACACGCACTAAGAAGTACTCTCAATCGGCACTAAAAGTACTTCCACCACTTACCGATACTTTCTTTAAACACCTCAGGCGACATTTTTAACACCGATATATTTTAATAAGCGAGGGATATCCATTCCCCGATATCTTTTCCAACTTCCCGATTTAACAAGCGAGGGACATCCATTCCCCGATATCTTTCCCAACTTCCCGATTTAACAAGCGACGGACATCCATTCCCCAGATATCTTTCCCAACTTCCCGATTTAACAAGCGACGGATATCCATTCCCCGATATCTTTCCCAACTTCCCGATACCAATATTTCAAAAATTATCTCCTTTAAAAAAAAAAAAAATCATTCACTAAACATTACCACATTAACATATTTTAACATTGACAAACATTATTTCCCTTGGGTTTTAACATTAATTTCCTGCATTATTTCCAAAGCTATCCAGTACCAAAGAAAGATTAGGTGAGATGATGAAGTGTTTACATCGAGTTTTTACGCCTAAAATCGTAAATTAAGATGTAAATGCGAATTTTTTTCCCTTTATTTCCTCTATAATTATGTAAATGCGACTTTTTTTCCTTTTATTTCCTCTATAATTACGTAAATGCTATATTTTTCCCTTTGTTTTATCTATAATCTGTATATAATTGTAAATACATTCTTATTTTGCTTGTAAATCTGTAAATAAAAGTATAAATAATGTTTCTCCTTTAGTTTCATCTATTTGTAACTAAAACTGTAAATTGTACTATAATTTCTGTGTCTCTATAATTCTGTAAATAAATATGTAAATACTCACTTTTAATCTTTTATTTCATCTATAATTCCGTAAATAAAGTTGTAAATGCCATCGTTATTTCATCTATAATTCCGTAAATAATGTAAAAATATCATCTATGTTATTTCGTCTATAATTCCAAGACCCAATAATCCAGTGATGTAAAAAAGGTCGTTCGATATGTATAATTGCATCTGCTGTCTTAACGATATAACGACCCTATTCGATGATGGCAACAGTGACATCACATTTCCCGCACACGTCTTCGAGGAGGGAATTTGTACAGCGAAACCTCGATTTAATGAACTGTATAGAGATGAAAGTCCATTATATCGAGGGTTCGTTAGATGCGAAACCTCGATTTAATGAACTATATAGAGATGAAAGTCCATTATATCGAGGGTCCGTTAGATGCGAAACCTCGATTTAATGAACTATATAGAGATGAAAGTCCATTATATCGAGGTTTTACCGTTGATATGTGAGCATCGAGTGTCAGGTTAGGTCAGGTCAGGTCATGTTAGTGTCAGGTTAGGTCAGGTCAGGTCAGTGTCAGGTTTTTCTCCTCGACTCGACCATACTGTACACATATGCCCTTTATTCCCCAAAGTCCCGCAAGAAGGATGTACGTTTTGACATTAATTAAAACTCGAGTTAAATCTTCACAATAAACTCTTGGAATATACGTAAGTTATGTATAGTGTGCGTATAATGATGTGTACAGTACTTTGTGTGTGTATTGATGTGTACGTATGTATATTGTGTGTGTGTATTGATGTATAATTTGTGTCTGTATTTTGATGTATACTTCTGTGTATATTACTCAATGTATACTTTATGTGTATAGCTTGATATATACTTAGAGGTTAGGGTTAGGTTAGGTTAGATTACGTTAGGTTTGGGTTAGGTTAGATTACGTTAGGTTAGGGTTAGGTTAGGTTTAGGTTAGATTACGTTAGGTTAGGGTTAGGTTAGGTTACGTAGAGGTGTATTAAATTCAAATGGCATTGGAACCCATACGTAAATCCCTCAATTAATTTCTTATCAATTGAGAACCACACAGACACACACACACACACAAACACACACACACACACACACACAAACACACACACACAAACACACACACACACACACACACACAAACACACACACAGAAAAACCACACCGCAAAATCCCATTGTTTACATCATACCCCTAAGACACCGTCCAATCAGAATGTAAACACCGAAAAATCCGTTTACACATCGCAATAATCGTGGAATGTTTGTTTACTTTCTGGTCCCCTATAGAATGTGGAGGTTACGTTTGAGGTGAAATTACTATGTGGGATTATGTTGGCCAATCACCACCTTGGCTTATGCTGAAAAACTAACTACCCTAAGGCTTTTTTGGGGGGGTTAGGTTATGTTAGGTTTACGTTGGGTTATGTTAAGTTTACGTTGGGTTTAGGTTAGGTTAGGTTAAGGTAAGGTAACATTAGGTTAGGTTACTCCTGAATCAACATCTGTATATTAGAAACCCACCAAAAAATTTATAAACAAATTACCAATAACAGTAGTGGATGCAGAAGCGGATGAAGAATATAGCCATCGTACAAGCGGATGAAGAAACACTGGATTATTGTGCAAATATATCCACAACCTCGGATGAATCATTTGTATAACTTGTGAAATTGTGCAAAATATATCCACACCCTCGGATAAATCATTTGTGTAAATTTGTGAAATATATCCACAACCTCGGATGAATCATTTGTATAACTTGTGAACTATATCCACACCCTTGGATAAATCATTTGTGTAAACTTGTGAAATTGTTCATTTCATTAACATCGTGAAACTGATCGACCAATAAGGCATCTGTAGAGTGAGTTCTGCTATAAGGCGTGTTTTGACAGTGCGAATTGGCTCTAAGGCGATTCCACTTGAACGGTTGTAGAGGCTTGGCGTGGGGTTATGCAGTGTTTACAGTTCAAGTTCGACATCACATATTCAATTGATTTATGTGTTTTGTTTGTGAACAATTGCAGAAATAATTTATGTATACGGTATACCTGCACAGTATATGTAAATTGTAAAATTTTAAATAAGAGAGAAAAACCAAATACGTAGCGTTTTAGACCCGCGCGCTCTGTTTACACCACACGATCAGTTTGAAACACGTGTGAAGTTTTTAAGCGTCCTCAGTGATTTCTGATTACTGTTTCTCCAATTTTGTGACTATGGAAAAGAAGAATATCTCCGGGAAGTGTTCTGGTGATCGCATTTCCGGTGATGATCGTAAAAGAAAGGCTATAACACTTGAAGAAAAGCTTTATGTTGTCAATCGTTTTGAAAATAAGGAAAGAACACGTGATATTGTGCGTGCAACGGGAATAAAGGAATCTACTTTACGCACCATTAGAGACAATGCGGCAAAGATTAAATCAAGCTGTATTGCTGGACAAACGTTGAGTGCTAGCAAAAGTGTGAGATCACGGCCAAAGGAACTTGAGGAGATGGAATGGCTTCTAAGTGTTTGGATAGAAGATCAAACGAAAAAGCGATCTGGGACCAGCTTCCTCACCATTAAAGAGAAAGCCTTACCAATATATGAGGACCTAAAGAAAAACTGCACCTTATGATGATGATGATACTGTCAACTCTGTCTGCATGACTCCTCAACCTCAACCTTCTCCCCCATCAAGTTATATTCATATTTTTTTTCAAGGTAAAGTGTTACATTTACTGTATGATTTCATTATTAGATATGAATGCAACATTTATTTAGACTGTGCTATCCTTTGTGTTACGCTAACTACTAAATTTTTTTTCGATTTGGAGTAATCTGCACCTAGCCCTATTTTCTCCATAAGCCCTGATATTTCTATTACGCAAATTTCTATAACACGATGTTTTACAAGAACACAACTATCGCGTTATAGCAGAACTGACTGTACCTAGAACCAGACAAATCGACCAATCAAATAAGCCGTTGCAAGGTGTGAGGGTTGGCTACCTTTCATCAATAACAAATCGACCAATCAAATAAGCCGTCCCGAGACCTGAGGGTTGGCTACTTCCGACAATAAACTACTGATCGGCTCTGATACACAGATGGCGCTTTTACCTGACGTGTGGATTCCAAACGCCGTTCTTGTCGAGTTTGTTCTGTTCTTCACGTTCTTTATTTGTGCCGCTTGACGTGTGGATTCCAAACACCGTTCTTGTTGCGTCTGTTCTACATTTGCATTGCTTCTTTCACCGACTTACAAACGCCATTCTTGCTCCCAATCCCGCATCTTGACACGTCCCATACTTAAACGATCAAACTTCCTTTCTTGTTGTTCCTCGATATAAACGATACTTCTCAAAATACCACTCTCACCCCCCCACCACCCCCTCACTTGTCGTACACCGCACCCTGAGGCGTTCCATCTACTTCCACACCTTGCTGAACAGTTCCATGAAGGTATCGTATATCATGAACGTAATGGCTACGTCCAAACACACTCGGCTTAGCCTGGGTACAGTGCCCTTGTAGAACCTGGAATGTAAACAGGATATATCAGAATGCTGTATCTATCATGGTATCAATAAAACACTAAACTATCCTAACATCACCACAGGATATATCAGACCCCTAAACTGTATCTATCATGGTAACAATAAAACACTAAACTATCCTAACATCACCACAGGATATATCAGACCCCTAAACTGTATCTATCATGGTAACAATAAAGTTCTATTCAATCCATCAAATTATTAATCTATAAACCAACCAAGTGATCAATGTATCTATCCATCTAACTAGCTAGCTATCTACACCCCAGACTAAGCAACACACAATCTCTCTCTCTCTCTCTCTCTCTCTCTCTCTCTCTCTCTCTCTCTCTCTCCCTCCCTCTACACCCCAGACCAGACCCCAATCAAATACTCACGCTCGCGGTCCTTCGTTCTTCCAAATCCTGCAGAAACAGTCGAACGTATTCTTGTATTTACTGGCCTCTAGACCTTGCATTCTGGTCTTGACTACATCGATGGGGGTGTTTCCGAACACTGACACCGCTCCGGCCAGCCCACCGAACACACCTACGATGGGGAGATATTTTACTATGGGGTCCAGGGGAGATATTTTACTATGGGGTCCAGGGGAGATATTTTACTATGGGGTCCAGGGGAGATATTTTACTATGGGGTCCAGGGGAGATATTTTACTATGGGGTCCAGGGGAGATTTTTTACTATGGGGTCCAGGGGGAAAATATTCTACTATAGGGTCCAGGGGGAAAAATATAGGGAAAAAATGTGTGTACGCTCGTTAACTTATTTGTCTGTGTGTACGCTCGTTAACTTACCTGTCTGTGTGTACGCTCGTTAACTTACCTGTCTGTGTGTCTGTATTTCAATCTAATTATCAACACAATCTTGAACTTTGACCCCACCAATAAGAACTTCCAGAGGTCAAGAGGTCACATTTAGAGCTTTAGACTACCCAAGGAGGTCAAACGAGTCTTTCCAGAGGTCAAGAGGTCACATTTAGAAATTTAGACTACCCAAGGAGGTCAAATGAGTCTTTCCAGATGTCAAGCGAGGTCAAGAGGTCATACACTGGTAAGAATATACAGTGTAACCTCAATATAATGAATTATATGACAGGGAGTCCATTATATCAAGGTCCATTTGATACAAGACCTCTATATAACGAACTAAACCACACACAAGAAAGTGCCACCCCATGTACTTATCCCTTGTGTACTTACCAACGAGAACCCTAAACTACTTACTTAACCACACGAGGTACTAGCCAACCAGACCCCCTAAACAAGAAAGTACTTCCTCGTGTACTTACTAACCACACGGGGTACTAGCCAACCAGACCCCTAAGCAAGAAAGTACCTCCTCGTGTACTTACTAACCACACGGGGTACTAGCCAACCAGACCCCCTAAACATGAAAGTACCTCCTTGAGTACTTACTAACCACACGAGGTACTAGCCAACCAGACCCCTAAACAAGAAAGTACCTCCTCGAGTACTTACTAACCACAAGGGGTACTAGCCAACCAGACCCCCTAAACAAGAAAGTACCACTAATCTACTTACCGACCAACAGCTTGGGGACAGGTTTGGTTGGGTCTCCTCCACGATACTTATCCTTACAGGTTTCCATGACGTAGAAGCGCATAGCCTGGTTACTTCCCTGTTTCATGATGGTAGCCGTCACGCCTTGGTAAGTCCCCCGAAGTCCTGTATGGTGAGATGTGAGGTTAGGTTAGGTTTTTGGGTAGGGTAGTGTTGGATTAGGTTAGGTTAGGTTTAAGGAAATTAATCATAATACAAATATATCAGTAGCTTGGATGTGCGTAACTCTACCTATGGGCGTTAGGTTAGGTTGAGAACGACTAATATATAAAACAACGACATTCGTAAATAAAGGCATTCGTAAAACTACTTTCACGACGGTTTATTTACGATGTTTCACGTTTGTAAATATTACGAGAACTCGATTTAACGAACTACTGTATACAAGAGACTAGTGCAGGATTTAGACCTGTGGAGGCCCATGGGCAGCCTCTTTGTGGAGGCCCCCTCATTATAACTACCCAAGAGGGTGCGGTGGCGAGTGAAGCGAGCCTAAACATCTGGGAGTTCCTGGGCGCTGTGCCTCCACCCACCCAAACCCACCTTGTTCCTTGAGTATGCAATTGACGCCGTGGAAAAATCCCCTGAATTTGGGATTGGCCGAGCGCTGGTCGTTGATGAATTTCACCTTGACAGTTTCCATCGGGGTGACGGCGAATATTGCCTCGGTGACTCCCGCCCCTAGACCACATAGGAGCCTCTTGCCCGGGGATAAATTACCCCTCTCGTCCACACTGTGTTTTTTGAATTGTTCGAACGCCCCGAATCTGGAAGTGAATAAACTCATGAACGACTGACAAATATTTAACCAATAAACAATGACAAAATATTTACTCCATAATCTTATTTGACTGTTTTTTTTAAGCTTATGTGTAATTAAGCTTGGCTATGCGATTAAGCTTGATTTAGGATCTAAGCTTATAACCTAATTAACTTGAGAATGACTAAGCTTTAACAAGAATCATTAGACTTCATTAATACTAAGCTTGATTGAATCTGATCAAGCTGACAGATTAACTAACAGCTTACATAATAAAACACAAATGACTCACAACTCAACACAAAATGACTCACACCTCACAAAATAACTCACAACTCACAAAATGCCTCACACCTCATAAAATGACTCACAAGCCCCCTCTAGTGCCAACAACAACTTACCTACAGGCAGACTTCGGTATAGACCCATAGAGGAGGACTGACAGCCCCCTATACAGCCCCAAGACCCCATGGCTACTGACGGTCTTCTTCACGCAGTCGACGATGCCGTTATATTGACGTTTTCCGGCGCCTTTCTCGTCCAATTGAAGTTGCGTTTTGACGTACTCGGTGGGGAACGTGATGCAGATTTCAATGCCGCCCGTAATCCCGCCTGGAAAATTAAATCGGGGGTTAGTGGAGTGTGTTTTGGGGGTGGAATCGGTAAAGGGGCGTTGATATTAACCCACTGGAAATTGAAATCGGGGTTAGGGGTGTGTGTTTTTTGATGTTATCGGTAAGGGACGTGATGCCGATTTCAATGATAGTTGTGATGCTGCTTGAGAAATAAAATCGAGGGGTAGTGGAGTGTTTTGGGGGTGGAATCGGTAAAGGGGGCGTTGATATTAACCCCCTGGAAATTAAATCCAGTAGGTGTGTTTCGGGGGGAACCTGGCAGGGGGTATGAGATAACCCCCGAAATTTAAAACGGGGGTAGGGAGCGTTTTGGGGTGGAATCGGTAAAGGGGGCAGTTGATTCACCCCCCGGAAATGAAATCGGGGTTAGGTGTGTTTAGGGTGGAATCGTAAAGGGGCGTTGATATTCACCCCCTGGAAAAATAAAATCGGGGGTTAGGGGTGTGTTTTGGGGGTGGAATCGGTAAAGGGGGCATTGATATTAACCCCCTGGAAATTTAAATCGGGGGTTAGGGGTGTGTTTTGGGGGTGGAATCGGTAAGAGGGGTCAAAGGTCATTCATTACACAATAACATAGAACAGAATAACAAAATAACGAAGAACAGAATAACTAGTAAATTGATAAAACGGTGGAATAGGGAGATAAAATAATGAAATAAAGAGAAGAGAGAGAGAGAGGCCATTTATATCAAACAAGACTCTGAATTGATCTTTGTCCACAACACTGTAATTTAATTTAGTTCATGAGGGAGGTGGTGGTGGTAGTGGTGGTAGAGGGTGGTGGTAGTGGTGGTAGAGTGGTGGTAGTGGTGGTAGAGGGTGGTGGGTGGTGGTGGTAGTGGTGAGGGTGGTAGTGGTGGTGATTGGTGGTGGTAGTGGTGGTGGGGTGGTGGGGTGGTGGTGGTAGTGGTGGTGGTGGTGGAGTGGTGGTAGGTGGTGGGTGGTGGTGGGGTGGTGGAGTGGTGGTGTGGTGGTGGTGGTGGGTGGTGGTGGGGTGGTGGTGGTGGTGGTGGTGGTGGTGGGTGGTGGTGGTGGTGGTGGGTGGTGGTGGTGGTGGGGTTAGTGGTGGTGGTGGTGGTGGTGGGAGGGTGGTGGTGTGGTGGTGGTGGTAGTGGTGGTGGTGGTGTGGTGGTGGTGGTGGTGGTGGTGGTGGGTGTAGTGGTGGTTGGTGGGTGGTGGTGGTGGTGTGGTGGTGGTTGGTGGTGTGGGTGGTGGTTGGTGGTGGTGGGGGTGGTGGGTGGTGGTAAGGTGGTAAGGGTGGTAGTGGTGGGGTGAGTGGTGGTGGTGGTTGGTAGTGGTGGTGTGGGTGGTGGTTGGTGGTGGTGTGGTAGTGGTGGTAGGGTGGTGGGTGGTGGTGGTGGTAGGGGTGGTAGTGGTGGTGGAGGGTGGTGGTGGTGGTGGTGGTGGTGGGAGGGTGGTAGTGGTGGTGGTGGTGGTGGCAGTGGTGGTGGGGTGGAGTGGTGGTAGGGGTGGTAGTGGTGGTGGGGTGGTGGTGGTGGTGGGGTGGTGGTGGTGGTGGTGGTAGTGGTGGTGAGGGTGGTAGTGGTGGTAGAGGGTAGTGGTGGTGGTGGTGGGTGGTGGTGGTGGTAGTGGTGGTGGGGTGGTGGTGGGGGGTGGGTGGTGGTGGTGGTGGTAGGGGTGGGTGGTGGTAGAGGGTTGGTGGTGGGGTTGGTGGTGGTGTGGTGGTTGGTGGTGGTTGGTGGTGGTGGTGGTGGTGGTGGTGGTGGGTGGTGGTAGGGGTGGTGGTGGTGGTGGTAGTGGTGGTAGGGGTGGTGGTGGTGGTTGGTAGTGGTGGTAGAGGGTGGTGTGGTGGTGGTGGTGGTGGTGGTGGTGTGGGTGGTGGTGGTGGTGGTGGTGGTGGGTGGTGGTGGTGGTAGTGGTGGTGGTAGGTGGTGGTGGTGGTAGAGTGGTGGTGGTGGTGGTGAGGGTGGTGGTAGTGGTGGGGGTGGTGGGGTAGTGGTGGTGGTGGTGGTGGTAGTGGTGTAGTGGGTGGTGGTAGAGGATAGTGGTAGTAGTGGTAGGTGAACGAGTATATATTAACGGTACACTAGTCTAGTTATCCTTGTGGTAACTTGATAACCTTCTGAGAGAGAGAGAGAGAGATATTTCCCGTTAATATTACTACCACAACTACTAGTATAACAACTATTACCACGACTACTACAATCACCACCACTACTACCAACAACAATCAACAATCCCCCCTAATACGGTCGACAGCCAATCAGCGTAGAGTTGGATGTCTGCCAACCAATCAAGCGTTCGATCTCATCCCCCCACCCTCCCTATGAGTCCAATCATTGGCTGAACTCGTGACTGGAAGCCCTCGTATACGACTGGTGATTGGTTAACAGGCCCCAGTCAAAATAGGCCCCTAATTAGTTAAAATAGGCTCCAATCAGTTAAAATAGGCCCTAATCAGTTAAAATAGGCCCCTAATCAGTTAAAATAGCCCCTAATCAGTTAAAATAGGCCACTAATCAGCAAGAACACAAGCAGATTAGTGACTAGGGATTAATGACGTCACACACCTATGATGACGTCACACCTTATCTACCCCACCAATCAACTGAAACACATTCGTCTGTTATCAAATTTTTATCTATTTATTAATTTAATTTAAGACTTTTTGGATTTATTATCAATTATTATACAGATTTATTTAATTATCAAAATTAAGTGGTAATTATTTTGTTTTATTAATTGTATTTGTCATTAATTATGGTTCTCATTTGACTGACATTTTGGCAGGAATTATAATTTTAATAATAATTCAATTTTGTGAGGTTATAGGTTTTAGTTAATGGATTATTATGTTAAATTATATTATTATCTTATATTATAGATGTTAGTTAGGGTGTTAATGTGGGTTAATGTTGGTTAATTATGATAAAAAGAAGTTTACAGGACACTCTATATAGGTTAACAAGTCAAGGAGATTTGTGACTTACTTTCACTCTCTCTCTCTCTCTCACTCACTCACTTATCCTCACTCTATCTCTCTCTCTCTCTCTCTCTATCTCTCTCTCACTCACTCACTTATCCTCACACTATCTCTCTCTCTCTCAATTCTCTCACCACCATTCGAGACATGACCCCCACCATGGCCTCGCATTTTCTACACTATAATTATCCTTTTACTTGTGACAAACATATTGAGAGAGAGAGAGAGAGAGAGAGAGAGAGAGAGAGAGAGAGACAGAATCTCTTAAATACATCTTTCTCTCCTTTCATCTCTGACTGTTATTTGAAGTCTCTCTGCCTCTCTCACCTCTCTCTCTCTATCTCTCACCTCTCTCTCACCTCTCTCTCTATCTCTCACCTCTCTCTCTCTCTCTATCTCTCACCCTATAGTCCATAGTCCAAGATCACAGGAGACACCGAGAGATACCAGCCTCTTACTTCTCCTCTTATCTGATAACTTGAAACTGTGGTCTAAACTACATCATGATTAGGTTAGTGTTAGTGTTAGGTTAGTGTTAGTGTTAGGTTAGTGTTAGGTTAGTGTTAGGTTAGGGTTAGGTTAGTGTTAGGTTAGTGATAGGTTAGGTTAGTGTTAGATTAGGTTAGTGTTAGGTTAGTGTTAGGTTAGGTCAGGTTAGTGTTAGAGGTGGTCAGTGTTAGGTTAGTGTTAGGTTAGTGTTAGGTTAGTGTTGTTAGTGTTAGGTTGTGTTAGGTGGTTGGGTCAGTTAGGTTAGTGTTGTGTGGTGGGTTAGTGTAGTGTTAGGTAGTGGTGGGTTAGGTTGAGGTTAGGTTAGTGTTAGGAGTAGTGTTAGGTTAGTGTTAGGTTAGTGAGTGTTAGGTTAGTGTTAGGTTGTTAGGTTAGTGTTGGTGTTAGGGTGGGTTAGTGTTAGGGTAGGTTAGTAGGTTAGTGTTAGGGTTAGTGTTAGGTTAAGGTTAGGTTAGGTAGTGCTAGATTAGGTTAGTGTTAGGTTAGTGGGTGTGTTAGCTGTAGTGAGGTTAGGTTGGGTTAGTGAGTGTTAGGTTAGGTTGAGGTTGGTGTTAGTGTTAGGTTAGTGTTAGGTTAGTGAGGTTAGGTTGAGGTTGTGTTAGGTTAGGTTAGGTGTGTTGGGTAGGGTTGGTGTTAGTAGTTAGGTTGGGTGTTAGGAGTGGGAGTAGGTTAGTGTTGTGTTAGGTCAGGTTAGTGTTTTAGGTGTTAGTGTTAGTTAGGTGTTAGTGTTAGGGTTGGTAGGTCAGTCAAGTTAGGTTAGTGTTAGGTCAAGTTAGGTTAGTGTTAGGTGGGTTAGGTCAGGTTAGGTCAGGTAGGTCAGGTCAGGTCAAGTTAGGTTAGTGTTAGGGTAGGTCAAGTCAATCTACAGCAATGGCAAAGTGACAGTCAGACACACCTTGAGATATCGACTTGTAATGTTGTGAGTGGGTGTTGGGTCGAGTCAGGGGTTCCCACATGACAGGAGGTGTTGGTGTGTGTGTTGAAGCTGACATGAGTTTGTGACATGACAAGATGGTGAACAAGTAACATGAGAACCTAACATGACAACAACAACAATAATAATACCAACAATAACAACAATAACAATAATCTGACGTTATAACCAGGTGTATGACGTCAGCACCTGGTCAATGCCTTGTGGCTTAACGTGTACACTGAGTCACGGTGTTGTCCTGTGTGTGTGAGAAGGTGCTGGAACAATGGTGCACACGGGGGATACATACATAGAACTATCTCAATACCTAAATACATACATCACACACATACATACATACCACACTCATTCCTTTCCTTCCTCACTCACTCACGCAAACGGATATACCACACACACACACACACACTCCACCACCACTACACGCCATAACAAAAATCAATCACCTAATTTATCCTTCAACACAACGCAGCTCTCTTAAATAACATCAAAAATAACATCATAAATAACAATAACAATGTCTCAAATCAAGTTCATAACGCCACACAAGAACCATACAGTGTTTAGACCGATTTTTAGACAGAATTGAGATGTTTTAGACAGATTTGAGACAGTTTAGATAGGATTTGGACATTTTTTGACAGATTTTAGACGGTTTAGACGGGATTTAGACATTTAAGACGGAATTTAGTCAGGATTCAGACATTTCAGACAGGATTTAGACATTTTAGACGGGATTTAGACATTTTAGACGGGATTTAGACTTAATAGACAGGATTCAGATATTTTAGACGGAATTTAGTCAGGATTCAGACATTTCAGACAGGATTTAGACATTTTAGACAGGATTTAGACATTTCAGACAGGATTTAGACATTTTAGACAGGATTCAGACATTTTAGACGGGATTTAGACATTTATAAACAGTTTTCTAAGTTAAAAGACAGGATTTATACATATTAGACTGGGTTCCAACGCTTTAAGACAGGATTTAGACGTTTTTAGACAGTATTTAGACGTTTTTAGACAGTATTTAGACGTTTTTAGACAGTATTTAGACAGATTTTAGACAACATCAGGCCAGGAAGAGTTTATTTATAACCCACATGGATGACAAGACTCAGCTATCAAACGAATTTAATTCCTTATTTTAGCCTTTATTCTCACTAAATCATGAAATAAACATGTATGATAGGAAGTATACATACCCAGATCCTCAATGTATAATTATGTATAATATAAATCATTGTTATATGTGTATTAATATGTATAAATGTCCATACGTGGCATAGCAAGTGTAGAAAGTTTTCATATTTTTGTTAATATTTCTAACTAAATCATTAAATAAACATGTATGATAGCAAGTATACATACCCAGATCCTCAATGTATAATTATGTATAATATAAATCATTGTTATATGTGTATTAATATGTATAAATGTCCATACGTGGCATAGCAAGTGTAGAAAGTTTTCATATTTTTGTTAATATTTCTAACTAAATCATTAAATAAACATGTATGATAGCAAGTATACATACCCAGATCCTCAATGTATAATTATGTATAATATAAATCATTGTTATATGAGTATTAATATGTATAAATGTCCATACATAGAGGCGGTCTAAGGGGCATCAGTTTACCATGGCATAAAATCCAACAAAAACTACATAAATTATATACTTTTTGCTCTCCTATCATAAAATATATATTATAAACATATATAATAGGATAAATAACAATTATACACGTTATTTAACCGGTTGTATTAGTGTGGTAGAAGAACATTAGGTATTTTGTGGTTAAAAGTGGTATTTTTTTTCCCCCCACCACGACGCCAGGTTAAGCCTAGGACAGCCTAAGTTACCAGCTATTGCTATTTGTGAGATATTAATGTAAAATAGCCCTAGTTTACCTGCTATAATTCCTTTTAGGCCTATGTTCCCTCCTCCAGAAGGCGCCGCTGCCCCAGACTGTGACATCCATGGACGTAAAAAAGGTGAACGATATGCAGGCGAGGGATTATCCATTCTCAAGCACTTTTAGCGTCCTCTCCCGACGACGTCAACCACAACACTGAACCAGCTGAGAGATGCACAGCTGATTGTTGCCATAGGTGTGTCGATGGTAAAGTTATCGTACAGTAAACTATCCCTGAAATATTAACCCCAAAGTTAATTAAAAATGATATTCCGATGTTAATTTTACTATATTTAAACCACAAAATAATAAAAACTAAAAATAATTCGGGTTTATGTTAAAATAACTGAAATAAACCTAGAATATCCACCCAAAAACTGGTATTCACTTACTTTACTAAATGCTATGTTAATTAAAGATAATTTACACTGACACACATATTAAAATAAACAAAAACATCAATAACATCAATTTAATCTATCAATCACAACAAATCAAATCAATCACAGAATATAATCCACAAAACATGATCAACCACATTAAGTATCGTACGTCAGGCAGACATCATTGACATTTTCACTTGACTAAATTAACGAGAATAAAAATTAGCGTTCCAATAATATAAACTTCCTATAATACATAAAACATACACACATAAATACAACTAATACAACGTTAATAAATCCCTAAATACATTATCCTAGTCACTAGATAATAGATACGATTTTGTAGACATTCGCTAATTTAAACACCACACGATATGACGTAATGGTGGTGCTACCTTGATCAGCCAATCAGCGAACAGGTGAGACAAAACTACTATTTATTAAGTAATTTTTAATGATTTTTATAAGTACTTTAGATGTATTTCCTTGTACTAAATAGCCTTTTATTTTTATATTAACTGTTATTATTATTTATTTATTTATTATTAACTTAGAATTTTATATTTTTGAGGTATTTTATAATATTGGGAATTTTCTCGTTTATATAACCCGGTTTTAGTAATGGCTGGAGCCTAGTCGAGTTACATTACGTTGTTTTTATATGATTTTCTATTTAATATCAGTTTATTTTAATACTATCATAAAAAAAACAAATATTTTATTAAATATAGAAGCACCAAACATTAAAATTAATTATTAAATACTAAATAATATCAATTAATTTATATAAAAAAATGACATCTTTTTGAGGTGTGGGTGAGAGGCTAGCAATGACGTCATTTGTTTACATCTGAGAAACATTCGTAATGGCACAAACTTTTTATAAATCGAGAATAAAATCCACATTTATTAATCTATAAAAAAAACATTAATATTATAATAAAAAATAAACCAGTTAAATAAACCCTTATCTCTTATTAAACCTCCAAAAAATATTAATTAGTTAAAACATCTGAGATAATTTTTCCTATTACAGTAGACAATGGAGGCTGGGACCATCTGCTGTACTAGTTCACTTATCTAACTAAAATTTAGCCACACGTTCCACCTCACACCATATTAACTAAGGATAATCCCTCATTTAACATCTTATCAACAATCTAATGGTGTAAATAATGAAGATAGTGAGTTAATTATGGTGATATAAGATAAAAAGAACCCTGCACCTTCACCACAGCCTTAAGGAACTCCACAAAAGGTATATTGAATTGGGTTTTTTTTTAGTTTATACTTAATTACCGAGTTATTTACGTATATTGGGTTTAATGTATTGTAATTTAGGTTTATTTGTGTGATTATTAAACCACTATTATCGTCTGGTTTGAATAGAATGTAATAAAACGTTGATTATTTGCGACACACCCCCACCTTGAGTAGTATCCCCAAAAAGCTACCCCTTTTCAGTCTATCCAATCTATCATCCTAATAAACCCCTAAACGATCTATTAAACAGAGAATGATTAATTATATCTCGTAATTAAAGGTAGAATGATGATAATTAAGCGTAAAGAGACGGTAAAATTACATGTTATTTAATTATTTGGCATCTGTATGTAAGTAACTACAGAATTCAAGGTTATTTTATGGTGGAAAAATAACAGTGATTTTTTTTTTCTCGGTGATTTTATGATGATTTATTTATTTGTTTGAGAGTTATTGAAGGTTTAATGTGGTAATTGACTTATGATTATTCCAATGTGAATTCTATATAGACAGTACAGGTATACAATATAACTGCTATGAATACACTTGCATATATTAAGATTTAACTAACAATAGCTCGTTCCAGTTAACAAAAGCTTACTCCCATACAATTCCCACAGGGCACAGACAATGGCGCCCCCTGTCCGTCAACCAAAAAACAGCCGACTAATTTAACGTCGAATTTCATCACTAAAATAACTTTCTTTTTGTGTAATTGTTAAAAAAAATATATATTTACATTTTCAAACTATTTATTATACTTTTGTTTAATATATACTGTTAGTTATATATTTTTAAAGGTATATTATCAAAGTAAGAAAAAAATGCGACAGTTAATAAGGGTAGTTAATTTTAGCTTAGTTACCCCGATAAATTTATCATCGAATACGTATTAAATTATGGTAAAAAATCTAATTAAATTAACATAATTAAGTTAAAATTAATCAGAGAATATTGTTTATATATAATAATTTTGTTTTTAAATTTTATTAAGGCTTTATACCATAGATGTTTGTTATAAAAATAATATATATTTCAGTGGGATAAAGACGACCTTGGTAAAATGATACGTT